ATAAATGAAATCGAAAGAAACCCAAAGTATTTCTTCTCCTATGCCAAACCCAAAATCGAGAACAACGTCCAGTATTGGGCCCCTACTTAAACAAGAGGGTCCTACACAGATGACAGCAAGGAAATGAGTGAGCTACTCAAGTCCCAATATGACTCAGTTTTTAGCAAGCCGCTAACCAGACTGAGAGTCGAAGATCAAAATAAATTTTTTATGAGAGAGCCACAAAATTTGATTAACACAAGCCTATCCGATTTTTATCCTGACGCCAAATGACTTTCGAACAGGCGATAAAATGACATGCCATGCACTCTGCCCCAGGGCCAGACTCAGGGAAACTCTGTGTTCATCAAGAACTGCAAGAAGCCCCTATCACGAGCCTTTTCCATCCTATGGAGAGGGAGCATGGACACGGGGGTCGTCCCCGTTACTAAAACAACAGACATAGCCCCACTCCACAAAGGGGCAGTAAAGCAACAGCAAAGAACTACAGACCAATAGCACTAACATCCCATAATCATAAAAATCTTTGAAAGGGTCCCTAAGAAGCAAAGATCACACCCATCTAGAAACCCATCAGTTACACAACCCAGGGCAACATGGGTTTAGAACAGGTCGCTCCTGTCTGTCTCAACTACTGGATCACTACGACAAAGGTCCTAAATGCACTAGAAGACAAAAAGAATGCAGATTGTAAAAATATACAGACTTTGCAAAAGCCTTCGACAAGTGTGACCATGGCTAATAGCGCACAAAATGCGCGCTAAGGAATAACAGGAAAAGTTGGTCGATGGTCTATAATTTTCCTCACTAACAGAACACAGAGAGTAGTCGTCAACAGAGTAAAGTCCGAGGCAGCTACGGTGAAAAGCTCTGTTCCACAGGCACAGTACTAGCTCCCATCTTGTTCCTCATCCTCATATCCGACATAGACAAGGATGTCAGCCACAGCACCGTGTCTGTCCTTTGCAGATGACACCCGAATCTGCATGACAGTGTCTTCCATTGCAGGACACTGCAAGGCTCCAGGCGGACATCAACCAATATCTTTCAGTGGGCTGCAGAAAACAATATGAAGTTCAACGATGAGAAATTTTCAATTACTCAGATTATGGTAAACATGAGGAAATTAAATCTTCATCAGTGTACAAAACAAATTCTGGCACAAATAGAGCGAAACACCATACGTCAAAGACCTGGGATGTGATTATGTCGGAGGATCTCACCTTCAAGGACCATAACATTGTATCAATCGCATCTGCTAGAAAAATGACAGGATGGATTAATGAGAACCTTCAAAACTAGGGAGGCCAATGCCATGATGACACTCTCAGGTCACTTGTTCTATCTAGGTGGGAATATTGCTGCACTCTAACAGCACCTTTCAAGGCAGGTGAAATTGCCGACCTAGAAAATGTACAGAGAACTTTCACGGCGCGCATAACGGAGATAAAACACCTCAATTACTGGGAGCGCTTGAGGTTTCTAAACCTTGTATTCCCTGGAACGCAGGAGGGAGAGATACATGATTATATACACTGGAAAATCCTAGAGGGCTAGTACCGACTTGCACACGAAAATCACTCACTACGAAAGCAAAAGACTTGGCAGACGATGCACCATCCCCCCAATGAAAAGCAGGGTGTCACTAGCACGTTAAGAGACCATACATAAGTGTCAGGGACCGAGATGTTCAACTGCCTCCCAGCACACATAAGGGGGATTACCAACAGACCCCTGGCAGTCTTCAAGCTGGCACTGGACAAGCACCTAAAGGCAGTTCCTGATCAGCCGGGCTGTGGCTCGTACGTTGGTTTGCGTGCAGCCAGCAGCAACAGCCTGGTTGATCAGGCGCTGATCCACAGGAGGCCTGGTCACAGACCGGGCCGCGGGGGCGTTGACCCCCGAAACTCTCTCCAGGTAAACTCCAGGTACTCCAGGTACACTGGATAAATAATAATTTTTAAATTTTCTTGGGTAGAATAGTTTGTGGGTGAGTTGTGCAAAGGACCTATCCAAGTTGGGTCGGCGCGTGTCATGGTGTTTAAACCGTTGTGGGATCTGATAGTGAGGTGCTGGCCAGACCCCTTATATAGCTTCCTTGGATGCTTTACTTTCATAGTTCCTTGATAATGTGAGTAGTCACGAAAGCGCTTGGAATTTCTCTATTCTTTCAAAGTGGTTGTTTTGCATATTCTGAAATCACCTGTTTACTGTGATCTTGTGTGTGTGTGTTGTGTGTATATATATATATATATATATATATATATATATATATATATATATATATATATATATTATATATATATTATATATATAAGAGAAGTTAATCAGTCCCTGAGGGACTAATTACCTCCTCTTCTACAGTCTTCCATTTATGTCACAGTATTGTATTGATAAAGCCACTGGATGCCGAAAACGTGTACAAAAATAGATACCCAGATGTTGCACATGTATCTAATTCATTATCTTGTCGGTATTATATACCATTGATATATTTCTTGTGTATATATGCCGACAGATTATGCACCTCTCGGTGCACATAACTATGGATGCGCACCTCTGTGGATATACACAGAGATTATTGTTATCATTTTAAAACAATAAACCCGTAGGGTTATAGCGCCTAGAAAATGAGAGGTAATCAAATTTGATCCAGGAAAGGCAGGGTAGTTGCAGTTTCTTGGATCAAAATCCTTGACCGGGAGCATAAAATCCTACCTTCCTTTTGAAGGAACACTGGGGATGCACACCTCGGTGTATGTACCAAGAAATATAAACCGAGAGGTGTCTATTTCTCGGTGCATACACCTAAAGTCAGTACCTGATCAGCCGGACTGTGGTTCGTACGTCGGTTTACGTGCGGCTAACAGTAACAGCCTGGTTGATCAGGCCCTGGTCCACCTCGAGGCCTGGTCACAGACCGGGTCGCGGGGGCGTTGGCCCCCGAAATCCTCTCCAGGTATTTTACATTGTACGATAATTGCACTTATGTATACCTGTGCTTAAATAAACTTACTATTCAACGCCCTTGAAGAAGTCAGTAACCGAGAGAATAAAAGTTTAGAGGTGTCGGACTGTTGTATCAGTATTCCTCTCGCGGTGGATCAGGGCCTGATCAACCAGGCTGTTACTGCTAGCCACACACAGGGCTCGATTAAGGCATGGGAGGGCCTACAGAGATTAAGTGAAAAGTGTTCACAGTTACTGTCGTATATCATGTATAAGTTTATAGTATATTATTATATTATTAGATATATGCTGAAACTGTTGACTATTGTGATTTTTTTTTTTTAAATTTTTCTGGGGGCCTCACAATACCCGCAATGGAAATAAGTCACTCTGACTTTTTTGGGTTCTCCCAGGTTTTCTACTCATATGCTGCTATGTTTGATAATCTTTGTAACTGTATTTGTGTATACCTGGATAAACTTACTCGCCCAGGGGCCTACAAACACTCAGCTCACACACTGAGGTCCGGAGTTCGAATCTCCTCCCCTACAGCTGGATTATTATTATTATTATAATCAAGGGGGAAGCGCTAAACCCGGAGGATTATACAGCGCCTGGGGGGGGATGTGGAAGGCATTCAGGCTTAATTCGGGGAACTGGAGCACAGATCCAATTCCCTAAATCAAGAGCCCTCACCAACATCAAGGAACCTTCCTTGAGGGGCCGTACAGCTGGAAAACATTAGGGACGTGTTTCCATAAGACACCTGCTGTCCGTGTCCCTGTTCATTCATCAGATTAAAATGGGTACCTGGGTGTTAGTCAACTGGTGTGGGTCGCATCCTGGGACAAAACTAACCTAATTTGCGGGAAATACTCAGCATAACAAGGGGCTTTCTATTATAGTAGTATGTCACTGATGTCTGGCATGCTGCACTTTTAAAAAATTGTATTCCTTGTACTTCTCTGTATCATGTTCAAATTAATAATAAATAAATAAATTAAATAAATAAATAAATAAATAAATAAACTATGGTCTGTATACCTTGTACATGTACTTGTAATTAATAAATGTATTATTATTATTATTATTATTATTAATATTGTTATTGAGTAGTGGACAAGCTTGATAACTTCCATAGGTCAGGCACTGAGGGACCTGGGATCGCTCCCTGGCATGGGTGAAATAAGGTTTTTGTTTCCTTACACCTGCTGTCCCTGTTCTTGCAGCGCTGTTGACCCTCGTGTGTTTAGCGCTTGGTTTTGATAATAATAATAATAACGTCCCTGTTCACCTAGCAGCAAGTAGGTACCTGTTAATCAACTATTGTGTGTCGCCTCCTTGATGGGGGGAAGATTAATCAAAAGGCCCTAATTGAAGTCAAATCAACAAACCCCAATGATGCACTGACTTTATTGGGTTATCCTGGGTGGCTAACCCTCCAGGTTAAAAATCCTAATCAAATCATATCTTGACCAACCATATCACATGTTCATGGGGGAGGGGCACTAAAGCCATAGGGGTCATAATGCACCAGGAGGGGGGGGGGGGACAGGAAGGCATTTAGACTCCATTCAAGGAACTGGAGCACAAGACCCTTCCTTAGATCAAGAGCCTCTCATTAGGGGTTAACGAACCATACTGCCTAGGCATAATAGAGGCTCTCTTTGCACTGACAACCATTATTGTAAATACATAATCTCAATGTACTACATGTACTTGCAAATAAATAAATAAATTTGAATAGAATATATGTACTGAGAGGATTTCCCCTCAAATGTTCATGGTCAGGATAAACCAAGGTCAATCTCTGATATATTTCTGAGTAGATCATGTCCTCCTTCTTTGTATGTAATGCAGTAGCATTGTATGACCCTGATGGTTTAGCGCTTAGTTTGTATTTTATGATAACTAATTATAATCCTGTACAATAAATGCTTCTTTCAAAGTTCTAAGGTATTTTTTTAATAAATTGTACCACCTATTACTCTTAGTTACAGAAATTTTAAGTGTCATTTCACTAATTATGACTATTATTTTATTTCATGCAGGTAATGATGACCGGGGAACTAAACTACGAGTCAACTTTTGGCAGAACCATCAGGGTCATCAGTTTTGTGCATCTTCATTTTGGTGGTTTTTATTGTGCTGGTGTATATTATCCTCTCCAACCTCCTTGTGGGTCTTGCTGTCAGTGACATGTATGCCATACAACAGAGGTAAAAATTCAATCTTTCAGTTGTCACAGTAATTCTTTATGCATTTTTTAATATCCTGTTTTATAGGTGTCACTCGAATAAGACTTATTTTGAAGAAAACTTGTTGGGCCTAGAATTTTTCTCTTGATACCAGAATTCAGCTAATATTAAGACAGAGTACATATACAAAATAATTTTACAGAATAAACAAAAATGTGTACTTAAATCTATAATTTTTATATTTATAAAGGTGCTAAGCCTGGTGCCATTCCACCCAGGCTTAGCTGAGTGGTTTAGTAAAGTGATGGACTGGCTGTTGTATCTGCAGATAATCATGTTTCTAACTTAAAACAGGATGTCTGTATCAGTTTTTTATCATGTACAGTATTGTCATTGTTAATAAAACTACTCTATTCATTATAACCAATCACAGTAAAGAAAGGAATAATCTTAAAGTAGTACTTAAAAATATGAAGATGATCACTTGTTGCTTCTCTCTGTACTTCGTGGAGTTGTCTACATTGTGCAGTCTCTTGAAGGGGATTGCTTCAATGCTTGTGAAGGGCTATGTTTCCTTAGATCATTCCTGATTTCCTCCCGTTCCCCAGACACTACATGATCCTGACAGGTTTAGTGCTTCCCCACAAATATAATGATAGTGTATTATTATTATTATAATCAAGGGGGAAGCGCTAAACCCAGAGGATTATACAGCGCCTGGGGGGATGTGGAAGGCATTCAGGCTTAATTTGGGGAACTGGAGCACGGATCCAATTCCCTAAATCAAGAGCCCCTCACCAACATCAAGGAACCTTCCTTGAGGGGAATGATAGTGTAATAATTTGGTAAATACGTATGGGCTCTCCTTCCATCACTCGACTTTCTCTTGTTCATTCACTCTTTCTGGTGTCCTCAGAAGTAGCTTTTTCACACTTCACTATTTCACGTTTCTGGAGTTTATCTGGAGAGAGTTCCGGGGGTCAACGCCCCCGCGGCCCGGTCTGTGACCAGGCCTCCTTAGGTCAGTGTCCCAGGATGCGACCCACACCAGTCGACTAACACCCAGGTACCCATTTTACTGATGGGGAACATAGACAACAGGTGGAAAGAAACACGTCCAATGTTTCTACTCTGGCTGGGAATCGAACCCAGGCCCTCACCGTGTGAAGCGAGAGCGTTAACCACCAGGCCACCAGAGCCCCTGTGTGTTTTTATAAGTCAATTATATTGAATAAAACTATTATGATAACTGTATCATTACTCTTCCTCACCACTAACTTTGGCTCTGTTCTGTCCCATATCACAATCAACAGTATGCAGAACATGATTTTAATTGAAATGTGGGATAGAAATCAGTGTGTACATAATGTACATAATTATTGTACAGAGGTACAATAATTATGTACATTAACTAATGTACATAATTATTGTACCTCTCTGAATCTTCTCGCCCCTCAGTCACTCCCAGTGATTTGTGAACTTTGATAATCCTTCCTTTAGCACTCTTCATAGCCCTTCCTAACTTTACCTTTGTTGTCCTCTCCACCCTTGCTTATCCTTTGATCCTGCATCAGTTTCTGCCCTGCAGTGCTGTATGACCCTAGTAGGTTTAGCACTTTTTTATTATCATTATAGTAATATAAATTTTATAAAGGTGGTATGTTGCATAATACTTTAAAATTGCAGGTCAGAGGTTCTACAATTAACACAACATGTGGAGCTAATGATTCAAGTGGAAGCCTTGTTCAAGAATCGTCTTATTCCTCAGAAAATGCAACAGTGTCTCCTCAGTAGTATTGGCATCATGGGATCTCAGGAGAAGCCAATTGTCTCCGTATACCCAAATCTCACACGGGGTTTCAGTGATACAGTATTCCTATTCTTCTCTAGGGTGATTGGAACACGAAGGCTAATGATCAAACTCTTTGAAATATTCATATCTGGGTTCATCCCTCCTGAACATGAAGTTTCACTTCCCTCACAGCTCATGAGAGAGGCTCTTGATGTAGCTCTGCGAGAACACGAACTGGATAAGCGTGAACGCCTGCTGCATCTTCGTGCTTTGCAAATTGGAGCCAGTGGACATCACAAACAAGGGCAGTTAGGGCAGCCTTCACAAGCTCAGCTACCCATTAGTCAGACCACACTCACCAGGGGACCTTCATACATAAGACCAGCAACCAAAGGTGCTAGATCCTCATGGCGCTGGACTTTTATGAGTGATACAGATGGTGAAGATGACAGTGTGAACATGTTGCCAACAGCAGTACTGGGTCAACCTTCTATCTGGTCATCTCATCCTGTGGCAACACAACGAACTGTTATTCCAGATCCAAATGCACGATTGGAAGAATTGAGAAATATTCTTATTCATCTGGAGGATAAAGTTGAAAAAATTTCTGTAGTCATACAACAGCGAGACACAGACTGTCCACCATCCTCACAAACTATCCATAGAGCTGATACTGAAGTCGCTGTCTAACAGGAAGGTTATTGCATCATTTAATATTGCAGCATCTTCTAATTGTCATCTCGAATATTAACTATTTAATGTGAATCAATTCTATAAATATTTTATCCTTGCAAGTATTACACTCAATAAAATACAGTCTATGAGTTCTAGCTACAGTATTCTAATTTACATCTTTGATCTATATCACTGAACTTTGATTAGTCTCTTGTACCTGATCTTCATGTCAATGATCATTTTCCTCTTCTCATTCTTACACCTAACCACCCTCATTGCTCCCATTGGCAGTGTATATAGTTGTCCTTGACCAGATCTAAAATCTCTAGGAATGGCTGGACAAGGTGCCCAACCTAAGGAACATCCAGACAATTTGTTAATTTTCCTACTCCTTTGTTGTCCACTGGTCCTATCCCTCAGGATTAGTTTGAGAGGATGGAACATCTAATTAAGTTGCAAAAGTGCACAAGTAGAGGCACAGAGGAAATTAAATGAAGAAGATTTCCATAGAGACTGTTCGTTTTGGAAGACAACAGATTAACAGATAAACATTTTAATACAATTCAAGACACCTTTAACGCGCAGAAAGCCGTCTCAGTGGTTCTTAAGTTCTTTGAAAGTGACTTAACCCTTTGAGGGTCGACAGGCCCTCTCCGAAACTCGTTCTCAGGGTCGGCCAAATTTAAAAAAAAAAAATTATTTTCTCTTATGAAAAGATAGAGAATCTTTTCCCGATCATAAAGACACCAAAAGTTTGAAATTTGATAGAAAACTTACGGAATTATGCTTTCCCCAAAGTTAGCGGCTGGGCCCGTTTGTTTACGAAATCGGCGATTTTGCCCCTTTGACCCCCTTTTTCCCGGCCAATTTCCCCCTGTATTTAGTGGGAAAAAAAAAACATGAATATTTCGTTTTGAACTCCATTTTTTCTTTTCGAATGGGTGAAAGGGAAACCCCCCTTTTTATAAATTCAACTATCCATTTACAGTGGGCAAAAATTTAGAAATTTTGGGCCAAATTTTTCACAAAATTTTTCCAAAAGATGAAAATTTTCCCCGGAATAGGGTCCGGAAAAAAACAAAAGACATTCCTGGCACAAAAATTGACATTTCCTCTAGTCTTTAGCCCGTTAAAGGCCCCTCTTATTTTTCCTTTGTTTTCCTTTTTGAATTTTTTTTTTCTCAAAATTTTTAAGATTTACTTTTATGCAGACTACTTGGGCTTTTAGTGAAAAAAAAAGGGTAAAAATTTTTATTGGGGGCACTTGTAAAAGATTTTTTTAAATCACCAGTTAAAGTGTTTTTGCACGTTGGCAGTTTTTGTTTACTTTTGAAGTTTGGAAAAAATAAAAATTTCTGCTACTTTGAGCTCAATTTCAAGGCCCCTTTCATTTTTTTAAAACCAGAAAAATTATTAAATTTTCCCTGTTAATTCGTCTTCCTTCTAAAAAATGAGCCCAAAAAAAACTAGAATCAACAATAAATACCATACAAAAATTACACTCAAAGTCGCTGTTTATTCCAAAAAAATGGGCAAATTTTTTTTTTTCTCATTATGCATGTGTTGCGGTTTTTTTTTAGATGTGCACACTGACCACAAAAGCCCCAAATTCTTTCAAATGAAGGCCAAAACAGTTTTCCAACTGTTTTTGGGGCCCGCTAGTTTTATGGTTCTGTACGTAAAAAACCCCCTACGCGTAAAGCCCAATACTAGTACGACGAAAACCCTAAAAGGGTTTTTTAAAAACCTTACTTAAATGATTTGGGGAAACCGTTTTTCAGCGGCCCGGGTTTGTTTAGTTTTTGCCCCCTATAAGGTATCAAAATTAATTGGATTTTTTACCAACCATACCTTTTGCCTATTGTTCCTTTCCTTCTTTCATTTTATCGTTATTGTTACAATTTTTTTTAAATTTTTGCCTCATTCTTTACTGCATAAAAGGGAAACCCCCTAAAACCTTTTGGATAAAGTTATTGCAAATGTGTACCCTGGGGGGTTTCCTTTTTTGATAGACAGTGTGTTTGAAAAACACTGCGGGGATTGTACTGTTAAAATTAAAGTCAAAATTCCTAACTTTTTAAACAGGCAGGGGGGCCTTCCTTGTCATGTTTTCAAAATACCCAAAATTTTGTGATTTTTGGGGGTGAGATATGAAACCCAACTGTTACTACCCTACTACTATGTACACAGTTGGAAAAAGGGAAAACAGGGTTGATTTTTCAAAGTCTCTGGGAAACCTTGCTTCGTTCTTACATTTGTTGGCAATAGTGTTGCAGGGGCCTGAGGGGCCACGGCACTTGGCTTTCCAACTTGTAGGGATATCCCCGGGACTACCCTCTCGCATCCCCATTTCTTTCTTCCCCAAACTTGAGGAACCTTCAATTGGGCCCCTTTACTCTCTGCCAAAAAGTTGTCAACACTCTCCATATGTAATGACAGCAGTGGGTCAGATGGCCCCCATTTCCATAAACTTCAAAAACTTATACTTAAAATCACTCAATATCCTTTTTGTAGTTAGGTTTTTGGGGCATGACATCTCTCATTTTTAGTTCATTTTTTATTATTGCAATTTTTAAATTGCTGGGAAAGCTTTGGGTTAAAAAAACATTGAAAATTAAAGGGATTGGAACCCCAAAAAACTCTCTCTGCCCAATCAGTTTGGTTTTTTTTTAAGTAAATTTAAAATTTGTTTTTTTAAAATGCAGGGGGACAATTTAAAAACGGTTACATTGATTAGCCTACATTCGCATTTTTGTTTGAGGGTTACCTAAAGGATAACCCAAAAAAGTCAAAGTGGGTTTTTTTCCATTGGGGGCCCGGGCCCCGTCTACCATTGATCCCATGATCTGTTAGATACATACATATGCAGTGCCTTTGCTAATAAATTATTGCTGCCGTTTTTTTTTTATTTCAAAAAAAAAAAAAAGTAACCTGGCATTACTACACCTTGGCTCCAGCCCATTCCATGATCCTGGGCAGTTTGCCACTTTTCCTTCAAGATGTCTTATCAGAAGCATTTCCATGTCCAGTTAAGTATAATGGTTTTCCCCCAACTTTTTCCACATTGAAGACATACTTCGGGGTTGTTTTTAGTACTATCCTCCTCCCTGCTCACCATTAATGATCTTGCGTCTGTTCTCCCTTCTAATGTCTGGTCATCTCTTAATGTCGACGATTTTGCTATAGCATGTGCAAGCACTGACTGTTGCCTTGCGGTGGCCTCTCTCCAGTGTGCTGTTGATTGCACTTCCAACTGGGCCATCTCTCATGGGGGGTTTAAATTTTCTGTTGCTAAAACACACCCAATAACCTTCACAAGATGCCCTTTTATCTTATGTGTGGGTTATTTGTGTATTCCAGTTATGATAATGGATATTAGTATGGGTAATTTGTTTGTTACCCTTGTTTATTACGCTGCTTTCCTCGTCTTCACTCTCCGTGGCTTCCCTTGATTACCTCCCCTTTACGTTCACCCTGGATCTTACTTTTCCCTTCCTCTTTGGGAAGTTCCAGTGATTCATATTTGCTCCTCCCCACTTCTCTGTGAAAAAGCTCACTTACCTACAGCAACTTCATGCTCACTCTTTATTGAACATTTCCATTCTCATTCTCGTGCTAAATAAGTTTACACTTATGGTTCTAAATCCCCCAATGGTGTTGGGTATGCATCTGTTTTTCCTGTGGGAATAATCTAATGCCACTGTTTTCATAGCAGAGTTATATGCAATTCTCAATGTTGTCATACACGTCATCCATACCTGCCTCGTTTGTATTTGCTTCAGACTCCTATCCAGAAATTTGACTCCCCTCACCCCAGCATCCTTCATATACAGCTTTGGTTACGCCTCATTTCTAGCAGGAATAAAGAAGTCATTTTTTGCTGGGTCCCTGGACATGTCAGTGTTTGGAACAGTGAACAAGCAGACTCAGCTGCTCAGTCCACCATTCATTGGTCCGAGTTAGACCACATAAAAAAAATTTCTATCGCACTGAGTTTAGAATACTGGCCATATCTTCTTCCCACCAGTCATGGTTGGGAGAATATGCTCTCCCACCTCCATATCAGACATTTGACTTACCAATGAATACCACATGGAGAAATGCTCAGCACCACACTGCATGAACTAACAGGTCACATTGCCAGTCCACCATATCTTAAGAGATTTTCCTGTTTATCAGCAAACCACAAGATTCACTTCTGACTTCTCCACCATCTGAACACACTCACTCTGATGTCCTCACTGAACGTTCCATTTTTGGTGTCTGTCTTTGTCTTATTAACAAAAACTAACATGTTGCACCAGCTTTGAGCAGAAACTAACTTATTGCACCAGCTTTGATTTAAATATTACTCTTACACTCTTCCTTATCTCCACTAACTCCTACCCTTGCCCCCTCACTCACTCTTATCCTTCACACATTTCTGCTTTCACACATCCCTTCCCTGCAGTACTGTATGACCCTTTTGGGTTTAGCACTTACCTTGATTATAATAATAATAATAATACATGACTGATGTTTTATTTCATCTGGAAACTGTTCTTAGTCAGGGAAGTGACCATATAGCTCACATGAATTAAGTTTTCATGTACAAAATGCAATACTATATATAACAAAAAATTATGTATTATTTTTTCTTTTATACACCCTCTTAAAATAAGAAAGATTTTGTAAGTTTTCAAATTTTAATTATCATGTTAACTCAGGAACACAAAACTGGATAAAAAATTTGAGAAAGAGATTGAGTGAGGGGAGCTTTGATAAAGCCAAGGTACAAATACAGCACATGGTTTGTAAATTTATTTTTCACAAAAGTGTGCTTAACCTGTATGATTCAGTGTTATTTGGCTTATAAAATATTTATAGAAGTATCAGCATTAATGCCAACAAGTTATTTAGTACGTATATGATGTACTGTATATAAAAACTTGGATTTCTAGTGGTTTAACAATCTTACTTTATGGGCAATTATGTATATACAAAAACTTTTTGAGATGGATTTAATACACGGGCAATTTTGATGATATTCCGTTTTAGTTGTAACTATCAGAAAACTAGACTGAAATTACGAACTTGTAAATAAACAGACCAGTACTGCAAATTATTCAATTGGCATCTGCGAGTGGAAGAAGTATATACGTATTTTATTAGTGAGCATTTTACCAAAATGCTCACATCTACAAAGTATCTATCACTACTGCAAATTGTATTATTACAGATGCATAACTAATGTGTTGTCAGATCAATAACATATTAAATAAGCTTTAAAAATTTTTATGATAAACAAGAAGCATGAATGTAGGATTGCGGATGAGCAAGGAGGTTTCAGAGTGGGTAAGGGATGTGTAGATCAAGTGTTTACATTGAAGCATATATGTGAACAGTATTTAGATAAAGGTAGGGAAGTTTTTATTGCATTTATGGATTTAGAAAAGGCACATGATAGAGTGGATAGAGGAGCAATGTGGCAGATGTTGCAAGTATATGGAATAGGTGGTAAGTTACTAAATGCTGTAAAGAGTTTTTGAGGATAGTGAGGCTCAGGTTAGGGTGTGTAGAAGAGAGGGAGACTACTTCCCGGTAAAAGTAGGTCTTAGACAGGGATGTTAATTTTCACCATGGTTGTTTAATATATTTATAGATGGGTTGTAAAGGAAGTAAATGCAAGGGTGTTCGGGAGAGGGGTGGGATTAAATTTTGGGAATCAAATTCAAAATTTGGGGAAATTTACACAGTTACTTTTGCTGATGATACTGTGCTTATGGGGGATTCTAAAGAAAAATTGGGAAAGGTTAGTGGATGAGTTTGGGAATGTGTGTAAAGGTAGAAAGTTGAAAGTGAACATAGAAAAGAGTAAGGTGATGAGGTATCAAATGATTTAGATAAAGAAAAAAATTTGGGTATCAAATTGGGGAGGAGGAGTATGGAAGAAGTGAATGTTTTCAGATACTTGGGAGTTGACGTGTCGGCAAAATGGATTTATGAAGGATGAGGTTAATCATAGAATTGATGAGGGGAAAAAAGGTGAGTGGTGCGTTGAAGGTATATGTGGAGTCAAAAAACGTTATCTATGGAGCAAAGAAGGGATGTATGAAAGTATAGTATACCAACACTCTTATATGGGTGTGAAGCTTGGGTTTTGAATGTAGCAGCAAGGAGGCAGTTGAGATGTTGTCTAAGGCAATGTGCGGTGTAAATTTAGGGGCAAAAAATTTAAGAGGGGAAATTTTAAAAAAGGTGTGGTTTTAAAAAAAGCTTTAGTCAGGGGGGCAGAAGGGGGGTTGTTGAGGGGGTTTTGGGCTTTGAAGAATGGTCAAAGAAAAAAATGACATGGAAAGCATATAAATTATGGGGAAGGAAGGGGGGGTAGGGGCGCCCGAAAGGGTTGGAGAAGGGGGTAAAGGAGTTTTTGTGGGCGAGGGCTTGGACTTCCAGGAAGCGTGCTAAAGGTTTTTAGATAGGAGTGAATGGAGACAAATGGTACTTGGGACCTGACGATCTTGGAGTGTGAGGGGGGTAATATTTAGTAAAGGGGATTCAGGGAAACCGGTTATTTTCTAAGCGGTTTGAGTCCGGGAAAATGGGAAGTACAATGCCTGCACTTTAAAAAAAAGGGGGGGTTTTGGGGAAAATTTTTGGCAGTTTGGGGGGTTTTTTTGGTATCTTTATACGTGTATGCTTCTAAACTTTTGTTTCTGGCACCTCTGAAAAAACATGATAATGTGTGAGTGTGGTGAAAGTGTTGAATATGATGAAAGTATTTTTTTTTTGGGGGTTTTTTCTTTTTTTTTTGGGTCCCCCTGCCCCGGTGGGAGAGGGCCGATTGTTGAAAAAAAAAAAAAAAAAAATATATATTTTAAATTTTTTTTTTTTTTTTTTTATTATCACACCGGGCCCGATTCCCACCAAGGCAGGGGGGCCCGAAAAAAAAAACTTTCACCATCATTCACCCCATCACTGTCTTCCCCAAAAGGGTCTTTTACACTACAGTTTTTAAACTGCAACTTTAACCCCCCTTTTCAAGTGCAGGCACTGTATTCCCCTCTCCAGGACTAAAGTCGGCCTGCCTTTTCCCCTGAATCCCTTCATAAATGTTACTTTCTCACACCCCAACCACTCAAGTATTAAAAACCTTTGTCCCTTTCACCCCTATCAAAACACCCTCAAGCACCCTGCTGGAAGTCCAAGCCCCTCGCAAACAAAACCCCCTTTACCCCCTCCCTCCAACCCTTCCCTAGGCTGACCCCTACCCCCCCTTTCCCTTTCCCACACAGAGATACACTCTTAGTCATTCGTTTCGCTCCTTCCCTACATTTCCAACCCCCTAAACCCCCTTCTCACCCTCGGGGAAAACAGTTTTTGGTAATCCCCCCCTCCTCCTAACTTCCAAAACTACAAAATTCTCTGCTTTAATATTCACACCACACATTCCCCCAACTGACATCCCACTGCCTCCAGCCTTCCCCTCGCGCAACATTCATCACCCCCCTTTCACCCCATATAAGAGCTTTGGTAAAACTTTACTCCTACATTCCCCCCTTTTTTGCCCCCAAAGGACAAAGTTTTTTGTCTCCACGACCCAAGTGCCCACTCACTTTTTTCCCTCATCAATTCTAGATTCACCTCATCTTTCATAGACCCCCCCCCCTGAACGTCCCCTCCCAAAAACGAAACGTTCACCCCCCTCCATTCCTCCCCTCCAACGATATTCAATCTTTCATCACCTAATCTTTTTTTTATCCTATAACCTTACTCTTTCCCATTCACCTTTAAATTTTTTTTCTTTTTCAACCCTACCAAATTATATATATTATATATTATTATATATATATATAATATTATATATAATATATATATATATTTTTATAAATATTATATATATTATATATAAAACCCCTTCTCCTGTATAAAATTTCTAAATTTTTTAAAGGGGAAACTTTGTTTTTCCTTTTGGGGCCCCCCACCTCAGTGGGTACAGCTGGTACTTAAAGAAAGAAAAATATTTAAAAATATATATGTCCCCTGCGAGCAAAAGTTCTTTTTCCAAACAAGGGAACGAAAATTTTTGGATGCAAAAATTTGCAAAAAATTTTTCGCCAACAAAAAAAAAATTTTATTGTGGGGTTTTTTTTTAATTTTTGTAAAAATATCTGAAAAATATTTTTTGGGTTAGGCTAAATTAAATGCGCTTTTTTATAAAAAAAGGTTTGGTAAGATTTCTAAGGTTCTTTTGATAAAAAATTATTGTTTTTTACATTAACATAAATGAAAAAAATGTACCTTTAACCCCTTCAGGGTCCAAGGCCAAAATCTGAAGTGGTGCCCCAGTGTCCAAGAATTTTCAAAAAAAAAAAAAAATTTTATTTTTTCTTATGAAATGATAGAGAATCTTTTTGTGAAGGTAATGAAAAAAAAGTACAAAATTTGATGGAAAATTGACGAAATTATGCTCTCGCGAATTTTGATGTGTCAGCGATATTTACGAATCGGCGATTTTGCCGACTTTAACTCCCATTTTAGGCCAATTACATTATTCCAGTTGACCAAATTCTTAGCTATTTCACTAGTATTACTTCTATTCTATCGATTGAGCACAAGAAATTGCCAAGTCAACTGTTTCAACTACAAAATAAAGTGATCAGAAATTGGTAATTTGGCCAATTTAACACAGTTCAAAATATTCCAATTTCAAAATAGGATCCAGAATAAACAATGTAGGTATTCCTGGCACTAAACTAACATTTCCTCTGTTCATTAGTTACGTTTTGAGGCTTTACAAATAAATTCCATTTTGATTTTTTATTCACATAATGAATTTTTATTCACACCAAAAAATAGATTTACTGTTATGCAATATTGTAAAAATTTTGTAAAAAATATCATCACCACATTTTGTGAATGTATATTAGACCCACAAGCTGGCGTGTATTAGACGTGTGAGGTCGTTTGTTTACTCTTGAACATCGGCAAAAATTTAACATTTCCGCTACTTTGAGCTCATTTTTCAAGCCATTTCCAGTGCTAAAAACCAATCAAAATCATCTTTATTTCTGTAATAGGGTCTCCATTATATCAAAAGAGACCAAGAAATCGCAAATACAACTATAAAAAACATACGAAAAAACACTGCAAAGTCGCTGTTTTAATCGAAAATCATGGTCTCAGTTTTTTTCTCTCATTATACACAGTGTACTGCAGGATTTGTTTTATGTGGTGCACACATACCACATAAGATGTATTCTCTCATATCTAGGCCCAAATGTACCACTCACAGTTTATCAGAGTGAGCTGAGCTCATGGCGTAGATCTACGGTTTGGACCCTGAACGTAAAATCATAGATCTACGGGACGGACCCTGAAAGGGCTAAACATATAAGAGAAACTTTTAGAAAGGGCTTAATTTTAAACGAGTTCTTGCTAATTGACCAACTTTGCCTATTTGGCATGACATGTATATACATATACAGCCCCACCTCACTTAACGACAGCGTTTCACTCCTAATACCACATCGGTAAACAAATTCGTTGCTAAACGAGGAGCATACAATAACAGTAGTGGGTTTATGTAAACCATCTTTGATATTGCTTTAATGTCACCCTTGCACCATTTATAACATTTTTAGTATATTTTTATATAGTGTACTGTATATTGTAATAAACAGAATCGACGAAATCAGCTCTAATATACATTATTTAGGTATGCATACTTGTCAGAGAGCTCATCGTAAGTCTGAGTCATTGGTAAACGAGTATGTCACTAATTGAAGAGAGGCTGCATATATAATTTATATGTACAGAAGAATATATTTTTATGTAAACTATTAAAATTAAATTTTACCAATTTATAAATGTATATTTTCCTGTGGAAATATTACAGTACTTTCAAAAGTTATTTTCTTTATGCTCTGTCACTGAGATTCACAGCTACTAGTAATGGTCAACATAAGCTGCATGCTGTAAGTGACATAATATTATGGCTCATCAACATTAGTAACTTGATTCATACTACAGGATCAGAGCTGGACTAAGATTTTGTAGGCCTCTGGGCTACAGGTACTGTGAGACCCCTGGGCTACAGGTACTGTGAGGCCCCTGGGTTACAGGTACTGTGAGGCCCCTGGGCTACAGGTACTGTGAGGCCCCTGGGCTATAGGTACTGTGAGGCCCCTGGGCTACAGGTACTGTGAGGCCCCTGGGCTACAGGTACTGAGGCCCCTGGGCTACAGGTACTGTGAAGCCCCTGGGCTACAGGTACTGTGAGGCCCCTGGGCTACAGGTACTGTGAGGACCCTGGGCTACAGGTACTGAGAGGCCTCTGGGCTACAGGTACTGAGAGGCCCCTGGGCTACAGGTACTGTGAGGGCCCAAGTGATATTTTCAAAAGAAAAAAAAGTTTTGATTCATGTATACCCTCAAAGAGAAGGCAAGCATAATATGCATGTCCTTTTGAGGGAGAAAACATTATTCATTCCCCTTTTCACTTTTCACTTAATCTCTGGAGGCCCTCCAACTGGCAGACACCCCTGGGCTGCAGGCCCTAAAACCCATGCCTTACTCTGGCCCTGTGCAGTACTATTGTTCTTTCTTACACAACCTCTGTAAAATAGTCTTTGGAGAACGTGAGGAAAATATTTGATGTCAACTTAAATGCCATTTTCCAAGCAATATCCTTAAGCTCATTTTATACTGTAAGGAATCTTCAACAGTGCAATATACTGAGAACACTGGTTGACTATAATTTAGGGAGATCAGTTTAACTCCCAGGCAATGCTGTAACTGACAACACTTTGGACCCCCAACAAAATAATTGGTGTAGAAGTTTTAGGTGAACAGCAAAATTGTAAATAAAGCTAAATTAAAAATATATTACAGTACTTTTCTTGCACAGCAACTATGATTAACTAACAGGCATATCAATGCATCAAAAAATCTGTCATTATGCTATTTAGGAAAGTAGATTCCTACCTCCCCCCTCCAAAAATAATAAGAGTACTGAGCAGCAGATAGCTTGAGAGTTGTATGGCTATCACAATGATGCCTTTCAGACATTAATCAGACGAGATAATCACCCCTTTCTCTATATAGTTTTCGTTTATAATAGTGAAGGAAGAATTTTATTATACCTTAAATTATTTGTTCTCTTGCATGTTGACATAAAAGTATTTAAGCTGAGGACAACAAAATTAGAAAGGGCATTTAAGCTGAGGACAACAAAATTAGAAAGGGCATTTTTAGTGATCTCATTTTGGATAAATATATTTAGTATTTCCATTTTAAAAAATGTTGAATTATATCAAAATTCAGTTGTACAATAAAAAATTAATAACTAAACTAGAAGTTTTCATGAGTTCAGAGATAATCTTTTGGTAAGTTGGTGAGCCACAGTGGTAGTAAGAGAAGTTATGGCTGTGAGTCTTGGTCTTGTATAGTCTGCAGACACTCGCAGGTGAAGGAGACTGCACAAGGAGATCAGCTTCTGTTGACACCCACCAACGTTCTGTAAGGGAAGATTATAGTTTACAGCATTTTTTCCGAGTATTTAATTTAAAAGTAATAGGGTGAGGAAGAAGAACTATTCAGGTTCTTGATTAGCTTTCTCTATATCAAGATTATGATTATTATTATTTTTTTTTCAACACTGGCTGTCTCCCACCAAGGTAAGGTGACCTGAAAAAGAAGAAACACTTTCACCATCACTGTTTTGCCCGGGGTGTTAACACTACAGCTCAGATGCCCCTCAAAACCGGATAAGTACTAAATCTGTAAGGTCTACTGCACCTGGGAAATGGGAGGTAACTCAGTTTGATCCAAGAAAAAGGTTAGCTCCAATTTTTTTGATCTGGAATTTTTATTAGGAGAGCCAACAGTCATTATTTTCATGAGGCATAGGAAAGGATCCTGTTACTTTTTGTGTGTCACTTAATCTGTGGAGATCTGTTATCATTAACACTATTATTATGCAGAGAGATCACATAACCAGGAATGAAATAGCAACTGCTGGGTCTTGGAGTGAGCAATCAAGTGATTTATAAGGCTACAGTGATACTGAAGGCTATTTTTATTAAAAACATTAGTGTACATGTGTGAGCATGTTAGATGGAAGTAAGCATAGGCAAGTGAGTTATATGACTTGACATGCTGTTGGAGTGTGAACAAGGTAACATGTATCAAGAGAACTGTGGAAACTGGTTAGCTGGGCTTGAGTCCTGGAGGTGGGAAGTACAGTGTCTGCACTCTGAAGAAGGAGTGGGGATACTGCAGTTTGGAGAGGCATCTGAGCTGTAATAGTGGCCTGCCTCTGACAAGACAGTAATAGAATTAATGATGGAGACAGCCGGTGTGTAAAAAACAAAAAGGCTATCCACTTCGGATAATTTACTTATGTTTGATGACTATTATGTACCAGTGTTTCCCTTATACAATTTACCTTATAATTTAATTATGGTCATTACATGTTCTGTAAAACAAGATTAAAAACAACATCAAATATAGATTATGAATTAAGCAGTACACATGAAGTATAGTAATGAAAAAGCAAGCTAAAAGAAATTTGTAAAGAAGACACACTTCAAGATTTTTTCACTAAACTCGTGGATCTTGCACTAAAATGAACTATTAAAATCTATCATAAATTAATTATTTAAGTATTCTGAGAGAGGCCAATGAACAACTATACAGTATAATTACATACCTTGACAAGCTGTGATTTGAGGACTGGATTGCTCTTGGCTTCAATTTTCTTCTGAATCATTTCTTCTACACTCATGCCTATGAGTTCCTGAAGAACCTAAAAACAGTAAGGATATAAAGAACCACACATTTGTAAGTTCTAAACACATATGAAGAGTAACACATTCCTCATCATTTCAGAATCAATATCAAGAGTTATACAATAACACTCATCTGGTCTGTGTCAAGGTGAACTATTATTACTCATATGTTGGACCAATGTGAAGAATTATACAGAATAAAAACACAGAGCAAAAAACAATCATATAAATGCAATTTAAGAAAAAATTTATATGAAACCTTGCACTTACGTGGTCATCAACATCTGCCTCACATGAGGCTGTTCCATCGTTGATCATAACAGTGAGTTTCCACGTCCCTGCTGATTGTTCCAGACGAGATACTAAAGTCATGATAAAACCCTTCACTACAAATTCCTATTAAAAGACCAAATATAATATTTTAGCATACCGAGGAGAAAACTAATAAACTATCAATGACCAATATAAAAAAAAATTAAATTTAACATATGTACAAAGAATTATATGGTGAAATACCGATATCAGCAGAAAGTCAAATAAAGCTTTAAAATGTTTCATAAGATATTATTTTTTTTATTAACACATCGGCCATGCTAAACCACCAGGGTCATACAGTGCTGCTATAAAACAGATATCCGTGATTTGGCAATTAATTTAAAAACTGACATTAAAATCACAAACCTGAGTAACAGATGGTTTCTCTGGTAAGAGGATGAGATATGTAAAAGGTGGCTCTTGCTTAATTATTTGTGCTATATTTTTACTTAATAATAAAGAACTCTCATTGTATTTTATCTGTGGTGCTTTAGTAGCAGGTTGCTCAAAGTGACTACTTATTGAAGGTGTTACTTTCAGTTTCAATTCCGAAGACAAAGAAGTTGCTGCACAAGAGGTTTCCATGTCCAATGAATCTGACATTATTGTCATTTCAGAATCTGAAAAAAATTCTTCCTGAAAATCATCTTGAACTTGATTATCTTGCTGGAAGGTTTTGGAATTTGACAAACTGTTACTTCCGGAAGACTGACTTGGTAACTGGGTTAAAAAACTCTTTAGGCTCGATTGCTTTGCTTGCTGTTTGCTGTGTTTCTGAAGTGTTGTTAATTTACTTAATTTATTAGTTACCGGCTGCACCTTTTTAATATTTGGTGTTAGTGTGCTAATACAAGAAGTGCTAGCTTGTCTAATACCTGTTAATGAATGATTTTTTGAAGTTGTAGACAAGTTAGAAAAACTACTAGATTGTTTTGCAAGATCTGATGACTTTTCATCACATTTAGTGGTGTCCTGACGCATTCTTTTTGTTGATGTTGACACTGCTGAATTTGGTATCAATTTATCAACCTGTCCTTCTGCAGAAAGTAGGAGTTCATCATCAATATCATCACTGAAGATGTCATCATCAATAATTATATCATCATCCATGTTTCTCACTTCCATGTCTGTATTACTTTCTGATGTATTTATAGTATTAGTTAGGTTCAAAATTTTTCTGCTTGATTCATTACTATTCTTATAAATAACATTACTGGTACTCAAGTCTCCAGCCGTATTAGACCTTGTTTTTGACATAGCTGTGGATGATTTGTTTGATAGCCCTGAAGATGAGGAATTAGCTGCAGAAAGTGGCAATGCTTGATTTTCAATTTGGCTTATAGCAGCTTCAAAGTCTGCATCAAGAAAATCATCATCACCCAATTCATCAAAGCTATTGCTTGAAGGTGCAGCTATGCTAGCCTGTTAAAAGAAAAAAATGATTAAGTTTGAGGTAATTTCAGGGTAACATTCAGCACTTATTTCCTGAACAAATGAAGAATCTAGAAAATGTCATGGAATCATTTTATTTGTCAAATGCTTCTGTTTGATTAAAAAAATACCTGACCATAGGTGATAGATAACTTATGAAACCTCTTCTTGCTCAGGGAAGAGAGAACACACACATGCTGTATAGATACTTCTGCTAGCTATTATTAGACAGAAGGTGAATAATTTTCCAGATATACATTATGGATGGGCTGTACAAGTTGAGTGTGTTTTTCATATCAAAGTGTGCAAGAATAGAGAAATTTCATATAAAAAAAGAAATGAAAAATACAGGAAAAAATAATTTTTTAGAACAAGATGACACTTCTTTCTTTCTTTCAACATACCAGCCGTATCCCACCGAGGTGGGGTGGCCCAAAAGAAAAAACTAAAGTTTCTCTTTTTAAATTTAGTAATATATACAGGAGAAGGGGTTACTAGCCCCTTGCTCCCGGCATTTTAGTTGCCTCTTACAACACGCATGGCTTACGGAGGAAGAATTCTGTTCCACTTCCCCATGGAGGTAAGAGGAAATAAACAAGAACAAGAACTAGAAAGAAAATAGAAGAAAACCCAGAGGGGTGTGTGTGTATATATGTGCTTGTACATGTATGTGTAGTGTGACCTAAATGCAAGTAGAAGTAGCAAGACATACCTGAAATCTTGCATGTTTATGAGACAGACAAAAGACACCAGCAATCCTACCATCATGTAAAACAATTACAGGCTTTCGTTGTACACTCACTTGGCAGGACGGTAGTACCTCCCTGGGCGGTTGCTGTTTACCAACCTACTACCTATAAGATGACACTTACAAGCATAATAAAGCAAATGTAATGCTGGCCAGAAAATAAGGGTAGACTGAAAAGAATCTTTCAAATAACAAATGCCACACGAGTGATGGTACTCTTTCAAGGTATCTGCATTTTCTTATCAAGAATGCTGTTGTGTTTACATCCTTTTTCATTGCCTGATTACATAGATGTGGAAGACACATGGGGAAAAGACTATAGTAATTGCATTCACTGAATGAGTATGTATTATCTAAAGCCACTGCAATGTACCTGTATATTCATAACATGATTATTTTTTATCTACACTATTATTTTAAACATCAGAGCTCTAGAGAAACCAATCATTACCTGGCCTCTACCTCTAGTTGAAGCCTGTGTCCCTCCTCTTGTAGGTGGCCAAGAATTCTGAGATCTAGTAGAAGCTGCATTAAGCTGGGAAGGGTAATACTGGGTGGTCTGACTTGGAGCTACCTGGGTAGAGGCTGTGTCTACATACTCTCTTGGCATCTCATTTTCCTCAGTCCCTCTGTAAAACAAAATTAAACTCATTGATAAGAATAGGTACAATGGCAAATTCAGTACAACTATCATGCTCAGCAGCAAATGCAATACAGAAATCATACTCAGCAGCAAATGCAATACAGGAATCATACAAAGCAACAAATGCAATACAGGAATCATACAAAGCAACAAATGCAATACAGGAATCATACAAAGCAACAAATGCAATACAGGAATCATACAAAGCAACAAATGCAATACAGGAATCATACAAAGCAACAAATGCAATACAGGAATCATACAAAGCAACAAATGCAATACAGGAATCATACAAAGCAACAAATGCAATACAGGAATCATACAAAGCAACACATGCAATACAGGAATCATACAAAGCAACAAATGCAATACAGGAATCATACAAAGCAACAAATGCAATACAGGAATCATACTCAGCAGCAAATGCAATATAGGAATCATATAAGGCAACAAATGCAATATGATTATCACATTTAACCCTTCAACTGTGCAAACGTAGATCTATGTTCACGTATGTAGCGCTCCGAACTTTCTATATTACATGCTTTCTTATGTGAAAAAACATAGATCTACATTTGGAGCGCTACGCACATGAATGTAGATCTATGTTTGGACAGTTTAAGGGTTAAGAACTAGAAAAGGGTAAAAATATTTACAAATATTGCTACAATTTTTTTTTTAAATTACTACAAAATTAGAGAAAAAAGGAAATTAATACTTACAATTGCCTAGCAAGAATGTTTTCCAAGGCATTTGGAATAAGCAAGGTTTCAATCTCCCCTCCTAAAATGGTTATGTGCTCTTGAGTCAAGAGCAATATGCCACGGCGTGCCTGTATAGTTCCGGATATCAAGATCTGCCAAAAAATAATTAATGCATGCTAGAGAGATGAAGTCAGTTGTGATATAGCTATTTTCTTTGTCTACAAGATGCTTATGAGTCACGTTATACACTGTCAAATATAGATTTTAACTAAGCATAAACTAGTTATTGCATATATTAGCAGCCAGTGTAAAGACAAATGGTATAAATATTTTACAATTTATTATTTTTTTTATTATCACACTGGCCGATTCCCACCAAGGCAGGGTGGCCCGAAAAAGAAAAACTTTCACCATCATTCACTCCATCACTGTCTTGCCAGAAGGGTGCTTTACACTACAGTTTTTAAACTGCAACATTAACACCCCTCCTTCAGAGTGCAGGCACTGTACTTCCCATCTCCAGGACTCAAGTCCGGCCTGCCGGTTTCCCTGAATCCCTTCATAAATGTTACTTTGCTCACACTCCAACAGCCGTCAGTATTAAAAACCATTTGTCTCCATTCACTCCTATCAAACACGCTCACACATGCCTGCTGGAAGTCCAAGCCCCTCGCACACAAAACCTCCTTTACCCCCTCCCTCCAACCCTTCCTAGGCCGACCCCTACCCCGCCTTCCTTCCACTACAGACTGATACACTCTTGAAGTCATTCTGTTTCGCTCCATTCTCTCTACATGTCCGAACCACCTCAACAACCCTTCCTCAGCCCTCTGGACAACAGTTTTGGTAATCCCACACCTCCTCCTAACTTCCAAACTACGAATTCTCTGCATTATATTCACACCACACATTGCCCTCAGACACGACATCTCCACTGCCTCCAGCCTTCTCCTCGCTGCAACATTCATCACCCACGCTTCACACCCATATAAGAGCGTTGGTAAAACTATACTCTCATACATTCCCCTCTTTGCCTCCAAGGACAAAGTTCTTTGTCTCCACAGACTCCTAAGTGCACCACTCACTCTTTTTCCCTCATCAATTCTATGATTCACCTCATCTTTCATAGACCCATCCGCTGACACGTCCACTCCCAAATATCTGAATACGTTCACCTCCTCCATACTCTCTCCCTCCAATCTGATATTCAATCTTTCATCACCTAATCTTTTTGTTATCCTCATAACCTTACTCTTTCCTGTATTCACCTTTAATTTTCTTCTTTTGCACACCCTACCAAATTCATCCACCAATCTCTGCAACTTCTCTTCAGAATCTCCCAAGAGCACAGTGTCATCAGCAAAGAGCAGCTGTGACAACTCCCACTTTGTGTGTGATTCTTTATCTTTTAACTCCACGCCTCTTGCCAAGACCCTCGCATTTACTTCTCTTACAACCCCATCTATAAATATATTAAACAACCACGGTGACATCACACATCCTTGTCTAAGGCCTACTTTTACTGGGAAAAAATTTCCCTCTTTCCTACATACTCTAACTTGAGCCTCACTATCCTCGTAAAAACTCTTCACTGCTTTCAGTAACCTACCTCCTACACCATACACTTGCAACATCTGCCACATTGCCCCCCTATCCACCCTGTCATACGCCTTTTCCAAATCCATAAATGCCACAAAGACCTCTTTAGCCTTATCTAAATACTGTTCACTTATATGTTTCACTGTAAACACCTGGTCCACACACCCCCTACCTTTCCTAAAGCCTCCTTGTTCATCTGCTATCCTATTCTCCGTCTTACTCTTAATTCTTTCAATTATAACTCTACCATACACTTTACCAGGTACACTCAACAGACTTATCCCCCTATAATTTTTGCACTCTCTTTTATCCCCTTTGCCTTTATACAAAGGAACTATGCATGCTCTCTGCCAATCCCTAGGTACCTTACCCTCTTCCATACATTTATTAAATAATTGCACCAACCACTCCAAAACTATATCCCCACCTGCTTTTAACATTTCTATCTTTATCCCATCAATTCCGGCTGCCTTGCCCCCTTTCATTTTACCTACTGCCTCACGAACTTCCCCCACACTCACAACTGGCTCTTCCTCACTCCTACAAGATGTTATTCCTCCTTGCCCTATACACGAAATCACAGCTTCCCTATCTTCATCAACATTTAACAATTCCTCAAAATATTCCCTCCATCTTCCCAATACCTCTAACTCTCCATTTAATAACTCTCCTCTCCTATTTTTAACTGACAAATCCATTTTGTTCTCTAGGCTTTCTTAACTTGTTAATCTCACTCCAAAACTTTTTTCTTATTTTCAACAAAATTTGTTGATAACATCTCACCCACTCTCTCATTTGCTCTCTTTTTACATTGCTTCACCACTCTCTTAACTTCTCTCTTTTTCTCCATATACTCTTCCCTCCTTGCATCACTTCTACTTTGTAAAAACTTCTCATATGCTAACTTTTTCTCCCTTACTACTCTCTTTACATCATCATTCCACCAATCGCTCCTCTTCCCTCCTGCACCCACTTCCTGTAACCACAAACTTCTGCTGAACACTCTAACACTACATTTTTAAACCTACCCCATACCTCTTCGACCCATTGCCTATGCTCTCATTAGCCCATCTATCCTCCAATAGCTGTTTATATCTTACCCTAACTGCCTCCTCTTTTAGTTTATAAACCTTCACCTCTCTCTTCCCTGATGCTTCTATTCTCCTTGTATCCCATCTACCTTTTACTCTCAGTGTAGCTACAACTAGAAAGTGATCTGATATATCTGTGGCCTCTCTATAAACATGTACATCCTGAAGTCTACTCAACAGTCTTTTATCTACCAATACATAATCCAACAAACTACTGTCATTTCGCCCTACATCATATCGTGTATACTTATTTATCCTCTTTTTCTTAAAATATGTATTACCTATAACTAAACCCCTTTCTATACAAAGTTCAATCAAAGGGCTCCCATTTCATTTACACCTGGCACCCCAAACTTACCTACCACACCCTCTCTAAAAGTTTCTCCTACTTTAGCATTCAAGTCCCCTACCACAATTACTCTCTCACTTGGTTCAAAGGCTCCTATACATTCACTTAACATCTCCCAAATTTATGAAGAAGTAATTTATTACAAGTATTGAATAGACACTCTTCATTGTTTGTGCACAGGTGAGCACATACCAACGTACAGTATTAATGTAAGTTTGTTGTCTCTAAGAAGTATTTTAATATTTTTTTTTATCTTAATACAAATTTAGTGTGAGCAGGGTAATATTTAGTGAAGGGATTCAGGGAAACCGGTTATTTTCATACAGTCGGACTTGAGTCCTGGAAATGGGAAGTACAATGCCTGCACTTTAAAGGAGGGGTTTGGGATATTGGCAGTTTGGAGGGATATGTTGTGTATCTTTATACGTACATGCTTCTAAACTGTTGTATTCTGAGCACCTCTGCAAAAACAGTGATAATGTGTGAGTGTGGTGAAAGTGTTGAATGATGATGAAAGTATTTTCTTTTTGGGGATTTTCTTTCTTTTTTGGGTCACCCTGCCTCGGTGGGAGACGACCGACTTGTTAAAAAAAAAATAAATAAATAAATTTAAATGTATCTCCCCATCCAAAGTTAAATCTTCAGTGCAGCTTTGATTACATAATATTTTATGCACAATTATTTTAATAAACCACTTGAATATGAAAAGAGTTGCTCCATCCAAATATCCTTCAGGTAACACACTTTAATGGCTTGTAAAAGCAGCATATAGGTGATAATGAAGGCAGGAAACTATACAATAAATATTGTGCACCTTCATCAATACAATATTTTTCTTTCATTTAGTATCCTATAAATTCATTGCATATATTAAAGTATGAAACTACTAGTACCTGCATTTTCTGTACTCTTCCAAATGGCTAAGTATATACTTAATCATAAAGTTTCATTTTTTTTTTTTCAACAAGTCGGCCGTCTCCCACCGAGGCAGGGTGACCCAAAAAAATGAAAGAAAATCCCCAAAAAGAAAATACTTTCATCATCATTCAACACTTTCACCACACTCGCACATTATCACTGTTTTTGCAGAGGTGCTCAGAATACAACAGTTTAGAAGCATACACGTATAAAGATACACAACATATCCCTCCAAACTGCCAATATCCCAAACCCCTCCTTTAAAGTGCAGGCATTGTACTTCCCATTTCCAGGACTCAAGTCCGACTATATGAAAATAACCGGTTTCCCTGAATCCCTTCACTAAATATTACCCTGCTCACACTCCAACAGATCGTCAGGTCCCAAGTACCATTTGTCTCCATTCACTCCTATCTAACACGCTCACGCACGCTTGCTGGAAGTCCAAGCCCCTTGCCCACAAAACCTCCTTTACCCCCTCTCTCCAACCCTTTCGAGGACGACCCCTACCCCGCCTTCCTTCCCTATAATTTATATGCTTTCCATGTCATTCTACTTTGATCCATTCTCTCTAAATGACCAAACCACCTCAACAACCCCTCTTCTGCCCTCTGACTAATACTTTTATTAACTCCACACCTTTTCCTAATTTCCACACTCCGAATTTTCTGCATAATATTTACATCACACATTGCCCTTAAACAGGACATCTCCACTGCCTCCAACCACCTCCTCGCTGCTGCATTTACCACCCAAGCTTCAAACCCATATAAGTGTGTTGGTACTACTATACTTTCATACATTCCCTTCTTTGCCTCCATAGATAACGTTTTTTGACTCCACATATACCTCAACGCACCACTCACCTTTTTTCCCTCATCAATTCTATGATTAACCTCATCCTTCATAAATCCATCCGCCGACACATCAACTCCCAAGTATCTGAAAACATTCACTTCTTCCATACTCCTCCTCCCCAATTTGATATCCAATTTTTCTTTATCTAAATCATTTGATACCCTCATCACCTTACTCTTTTCTATGTTCACTTTCAACTTTCTACCTTTACACACATTCCCAAACTCATCCACTAACCTTTGCAATTTTTCTTTAGAATCTCCCATAAGCACAGTATCATCAGCAAAAAGTAACTGTGTCAATTCCCATTTTGAATTTGATTCCCCAAAATTTAATCCCACCCCTCTCCCGAACACCCTAGCATTTACTTCCTTTACAACCCCATCTATAAATATATTAAACAACCATGGTGACATTACACATCCTGTCTAAGACCTACTTTTACCGGGAAGTAGTCTCCCTCTCTTCTACACACCCTAACCTGAGCCTCACTATCCTCATAAAAACTCTTTACAGCATTAAATAACTTACCTCCTATTCCATATACTTGCAACATCTGCCACATTGCTCCTCTATCCACTCTATCATATGCCTTTTCTAAATCCATAAATGCAATAAAAACTTCCCTACCTTTATCTAAATACTGTTCACATATATGCTTCAATGTAAACACTTGATCTACACATCCCCTACCCACTCTGAAACCTCCTTGCTCATCCGCAATCCTACATTCTGTCTTATCTCTAATTCTTTCAATTATAACCCTACCGTACACATTTCCTGGTATACTCAGTAAACTTATTCCTCTATAATTTTTACAGTCTCTTTTGTCCCCTTTCCCTTTATATAAAGGGACTATACATGCTCTCCGCCAATCCCTAGGTACCTTCCCCTCTTTCATACATTTATTAAACAAAAGTAGCAGCCACTCCAACACTATATCCCCCCCTGCTTTTAACATTTCTGTCATGATCCCATCAGTTCCAGCTGCTTTACCCCCTTTCATTTTACGTAATGCCTCACGTACCTCCCCCACACTTACATTCTGCTCTTCTTCACTCCTAAAAGATGGTATACCTCCCTGACCAATGCATGAAATTACTGCCTCTCTTTCTTCCTTAACATTTAAAAGTTCCTCAAAATATTCTCGCCATCTACCTAATACCTCCATCTCCCCATCTACTAACTCCCCTACTCTGTTTTTAACTGACAAATCCATACTTTCCCTAGGCTTTCTCTAACTTGTTTAACTCACTCCAAAATTTTTTCTATTTTCATTAAAATTGCTTGACAGTGCCTCTCCCACTCTATCATCTGCTCTCCTTTTGCACTCTCTCACCACTCTCTTTACCTTTCTTTTACTCTCCATATACTCTGCTCTTCTTATAACACTTCTGCTTTGTAAAAACCTCTCATAAGCTACCTTTTTCTCTTTTATCACACCCTTTACTTCATCATTCCACCAATCACTCCTCTTTCCTCCTGCCCCCACCCTCCTATAACCACAAACTTCTGCCCCACATTCTAATACTGCATTTTTAAAACTATTCCAACCCTCTTCAACCCCCCCACTACTCATCTTTGCACTAGCCCACCTTTCTGCCAATAGTCACTTATATCTCACCTGAACTTCCTCCTCCCTTAGTTTATACACTTTCACCTCCCTCTTACTAAATATATTGCATAATACCAAAATTGATGTGACTAGCTAAGATACCTTTGAGCCAGGCTTCAGGTTGGCATTAAGTCTAGGTATTAAGCGGTACTCCATAGCCTGCACTACACTCGTGCCATCTGTTAGCTGTAGCACCAACATTCTAGTTGGTTTTGGCTCCCAACCTGGCTAAGGAAATGAAAAGGCATATCAGACAACACAAAAACAAACTTAAATGTAATATTTTTGAAAAATAAAAGTGCTGAATAAGAGAGGAAGGCTGTTGGAATATAAATGCTTCTTAATTTGCTTGCTAATAATTTATATATCAAACATGACTACTCAGCTCTAGTAATGTAGCCCCTCCAATAGAATTACCCAGATCTAAGAAACCAGGGATTATGTTTCTTTCCTCAGAACATAGGTGGCTACTTATTCTTCCCCAGGCACTGTATGACTCTTAAGAGTTTAGTGCATACCATAACAACAACACTAATATGTAAAATAATTATTATTACAATTAATAATGTTAATAATAATAACAATCTAGAAGTGTAAAGAAGACACTGGATAGCTTTTTGATTACTATTGTTATTCCAAGGATCATAGAATCATAGAATTGATGAGGGAAAAAGAGTGAGTGGTGCACTTAGGAGTCTGTGGAGACAAAGAACTTTGTCCTTGGAGGCAAAGAGGGGAATGTATGAGAGTATAGTTTTACCAACACTCTTATATGGGTGTGAAGCATGGGTGATGAATGTTGCAGCGAGGAGAAGGCTGGAGGCAGTGGAGATGTCATGTCTGAGGGCAATGTGTGGTGTGAATATAATGCAGAGAATTCGTAGTTTGGAAGTTAGGAGGAGGTGCGGGATTACCAAAACTGTTGTCCACAGGGCTGAGGAAGGGTTGTTGAGGTGGTTCGGACATGTAGAGAGAATGGAGCGAAACAGAATGACTTCAAGAGTGTATCAGTCTGAAGTGGAAGGAAGGCGGGGTAGGGGTCGGCCTAGGAAAGGTTGGAGGGAGGGGGTAAAGGAGGTTTTGTGTGCGAGGGGCTTGGACTTCCAGCAGGCATGCGTGAGCGTGTTTGATAGGAGTGAATGGAGACAAATGGTTTTTAATACTTGACGTGCTGTTGGAGTGTGAGCAAAGTAACATTTATAAAGGGATTCAGGGAAACCGGCAGGCCAGACTTGAGTCCTGGAGATGGGAAGTACAGTGCCTGCACTCTGAAGGAGGGGTGTTAATGTTGCAGTTTAAAAACTGTAGTGTAAAGCACCCTTCTGGCAAGACAGTGATGGAGTGAATGATGGTGAAAGTTTTTCTTTTTCGGGCCACCCTGCCTTGGTGGGAATCGGCCAGTGTGATAATAAATAAAATACGTAATAATAATAAATATTCCAAGGATAAAATTTTTAAAATGCGTTGTAGAAAAAAAAATGCGAAAGACAAGCACTTTCCAGTGGCTGGCCACTGGTCAAATAACTAAAAAATTAATTTTTTTTTTTTTCAACAAGTCGGCCGTCTCCCACCGAGGCAGGGTGACCCAAAAAAGAAAGAAAATCCCCAAAAAGAAAATACTTTCATCATCATTCAACACTTTCACCTCACTCACACATTATCACTGTTTTTGCAGAGGTGCTCAGAATACAACAGTCCAGAAGCATACACATATAAAGATACACAACATATCCCTCCAAACTGCCAATATCCCAAACCCCTCCTTTAAAGTGCAGGCATTGTACTTCCCATTTCCAGGACTCAAGTCCGACTATATGAAAATAAATATTAATATTAATATTAATATTAATATTAATAATTAATACTATTAATATTAATATAATTAATATTAATATTAAAATTAATATTACCAAATATTCAGTTCCAAATAAACAGGTTGGCCAAACTCCAGTACCAAAAAAACAGTGATAAGTTAAAGAACTGGAGAGACAATAAGCAAGTTATAAAGTAAAAATATATGAGCAGCAGACAAGATCTTTGACTAGGAGCCGCAAGCTGAAAGTTCAAGTATTAAGAGGATAAATGAATTGGGAAGTTTTCACATGCTGAGTGAACAGAAAAGGCACAATGAATTTAAACAAGATGATATGTTATATTAGGAATGAATCAATTTCTACCTGATATGAGTTTTCAGCTGATACATCTGAATTTGCTGTTTCTGCACCTTGAATTCTGAGCAACTGGGCATAAGCTGCTTGGCCAACATCACGAATCTGGTTCACCTAAAAATTATACTCAAATGAAACTGAATGAAGGAAGCATGTAAAATTCCATTTTGTTGCTAAAGAAGTAACTAACATTAATTCCTAATTAGTTTCTGACAGTGATTAACCCTTTGACTGTTTTGGTCGTATATATACGTCTTACGAGCCAGTTTCGGACATATATATGCTCAATGATTCTAGCGGCTTCAAATCAAGCAGAAGAAAGCTGGTAGGCTCACATGTGAGAGACTGGGTCTGTGTGGTCAGTGTGCACCACATAAAAAAAATCCTGCAGCACGCAGTGCATAATGAGAAAAAAAAACTGACCATTTTTTTGGATTAAAACGCCGACTTTGAGGTGTATTTTCATATAGTATTTATCGTTGTATTCTCGTTTTCATGGTCTCACATGATAAAATGGAAAACATATTACAGAAATAGAGATGATTTTGATTAGTTTCACGATGAAAACGACCTTGAAATTGAACTCTAAGTAGCGGAAATGTTCGATTTTTACCAATGTTCAGGAGTAAGCAAATCACACCACTCGTCCAATACTTGTCAACTGGGGAATCGAATAGTCTTTCACTAGTGCACTGATATTATTTATATCATTTTTACAATAATGCAGTAGTCTGCATAACAGTAAATTTTGTATTTTTTGTATGAATAAAAAATAAAAATAGAAAGGAATAGTAATATAAGAGGGGCCTAGAAATGTGACTAATGAACAGAGGATATGTTATTTTAGTGCCAAGAATGTCTACATTGTTCATTCTGGACCCTATTTTGAAATTGGCATCTTTTTTAATTTGTGTGAAATTGGCCATATTGCCAATTTCTGACCACTTTATTGGGTAGTTCAAATTGGTAAATGGGCAGTTTCTTGTACTCAACTGATAGAAAAAATGGAGTTCTAAAGAAACAGCTATGAGTTTGGTCAACTGGAACAACGGAATTGGCCAAAAAAACTGGGCTCAATCGCCGATGCGTATATGTCGCCGAGACCGCTAACTTCACGGGAGCGTAATTCCATGAGTTTTCGACCAAATTTCGTACTTTTGGTGTCATTACCACCGGGAAAAGATTCTCTATCATTTCATAAGAAAAAATAATTTTTTTTTTCCAAAAGTTTTGCGACATAGAATGACAAGTTTCAGAAAGGGGCTTGTGACAGTCAAAGGGTTAATGGCAAATGGAGTAACCCCAATACAGGCAGAAGTAAGATAAGAAAAAAACTATCAGATTACAATATTCATTTGGAGTCTAAATGTGTACAATATTTGTAAGCTAATCTAGCTTCATAAAAAAGCACATTTAAATCCAACTTTAATGCAGCAAGGAACTTCACAAATTTCAAACATATAACCCAGATTCTTCACAAGAGCAATCCTTATTTTCTTCTTCTTTCAACAAACAGCCATATCCTACCAAAGCACACTGGCCAAAAAAAAAAAAAAAGTTTCTCTTTTTAACTTTAGTAATGTATACAGGAGAAGGGGTTACTAGCCCCTTGATCCCAGCATTTTAGTCGCCTCTTACGACATGCATGGCTTACGGAGGAAGAATTTTGTTCCACTTCCCCACGGTGATAAGAAGAAATAAACAAGAACAAGAACTAGTAAGAAAACAAAAGAAAACCCAGAAGGGTGTGTATATTACTAGGAAAGGAAATACCAGACAAAAGTCTAAGCCACTGTGTTATACTATCAAAAGAGTTCAGAAACACTCATACCTGCAAGGCAAAGTGACCAGTAATGGTGGTAGCTTTTTTTTGCTGTAAACCAAAGGGCAAACAACAGGTTGCTAGCTCTGTCAGATCACAGTACAGCCATTGCTCATAGACCTTTTCTGGGACATTTTGGCTACTGTTGATCTGTAAGAAAAGGTTAGATAAAATATTTTTGTATTATTTAGTTAGAAAACACTTTTAATCATTTATTTTGCTGTTTTATTACAAAACTTAAAACACTTCTGTTAGTTCCCTCATAAAAAGTAAGCTTATTTAGGTACAGGTACACATAAATAGTTACATAAATTATCATACATATCAGCATATGTGTAGATTAACTAAATTAAAGTACTGAAGGTGTAGTTACTTATTCGAGTTTGTGGTGGAGAGGGGTTAGGAATTACCAGTTTGAGCCCTTGATCAAGTCTCTAGACTTTCACCTGACTGACATGATGGACCCTCATCTTATAAAAGGTGTATACAAGGGTGAAAAGTGAGAGTCAGAATAAATGTAGTGATCTGTTTCAATTAAAAAGTCAGTGAAGCTGATTTAAAGGTGGAACTTTCAAAGCAGGCAGACATAGTAATTGTCACTGCATTGAAAAAAAGAAGCTGTAAATGAAGTGACCATGTTCTATTATCAATGACAGTTGTGAAGGCTGTTACACATCCCTGACAACTCTCACAGTAGTTGATAAATTAGACAAGTATATTTAGGAAACGTTTTACCACACAGTGGCTTCATCAGTTTAATGTAAAGAAGAATGGTGAAGATCAGGAGTTTGAAGTAATCATTCCTTCAGCCTGGAGTAATATAATCAGTCCATCAATCAAGATGTGTCTTAAGTTATCAACTTATCAGTTCTCTGAACCATATACGTACATCTCACAGTAGTGCTGGGTGCCCCTGTATGATTATTATAATTAAAAAGCACTAAACCCACTAGGGTGCCCCTATAAGAGATGTTCATATACGAGTCCAGCTGATAAATAAACAGATCACCACAACCATCAGTGAAGAGACGATCAGAAGTCCAATTATAGTTTAATTATGTAAATTTAACCTAGGATAGCCCACTTATTTCCACCTGGTAAATAATAATAATAATCATGGGATAATCCATGGAATGGGAGGGTAGCTCTAGCTCCTTGGATCAAAAGCCCTTCACTAGCATCAAGGCATACGCCTTGAATTGTATATTCATGGTATAATAATTCACTTACTATTATAAACTCACATTCTGATTGGTATTTTCTGACCGAACCCACTGAATACATTCCGTCAGCCACTCATCAGGTACTTGTATATGCTTTGATTTTAGGAAGGTGTTGACAGCGCTCTTAACATCCATCATTTTAATGAAAAAAAAGCAGCAACAGCTTCACACGACCTCATACCATGGTAGTTAACGTCTTCAATATATGAAGCAGATTGTCCGTTCTTTCTATGTTGGGTTTATAAGGGCCACTGACAGCTTGTTAGGTAAAAGGACAGACGTGCAATTATTGTGACATTTTACTGTGGCAACGTTTCGTTCTCCAGGAGCTTTGTCAAGCCGTTACTAATTGTGACGGCTTAACAAGTTACACTTGCATTCTTTTACCTAACATATTGTCGGTAATTCTACCAATATTATTGATAAATTAGACACATATGCAACACTTGGGTATCTTTAATACAGGGAATTCTTCACTTGCCTAAACTTTAGGCATGTCCAACTTCCACATTTGGAGTTGTCAAATGTGATACCACCTACTACTGCTGCACCTCACCTGCCTACAGTATATAAGCCACTTCTCACATGTGCTGTATTCTTTTCAAGATTGATGGACTGATTACATCGACTCAAGGCTGAGGGACTGATTACCTCAAACTCCTCCTGTTCTTCACCATTCTCCTTTGAAGATTGAGACACTTATGCAACATATGGGAATCTTTATTTAGGAAACGTTCCGCCACACAGTGGCTTCACCAGTTCAATACAAAGCAGAAGAGTGTAAGGAGAGGAGGAGTTTGAGGTAATCAGTCCTTCAGCCTGGTGTCGATGTGTTCAGTCCATCAATATTGTAGAATGTACATCACAGGGCCGTAGACGTGGCTTATATACTGTAGTCAGGTGAGGCGAAGCAGGAGGAGGCGGGGTCATAGTGGTACCATCCACTAGTCGAAGTAGGTCTTCGTCCAAAGGTTGGACAAGTGTTGAAGAATTCTTGTCCAACCTTCGGACGAAGACCTACTTCGACTAGTGGATGGTACCTCTATGACCCCGCCTTCTGCTGCTTCGCCTCACCTGACTACAGTATATAAGCCACGTCTACGGCCCTTTGCTGTACATTCTACAAGATTGATGGCCTGAACACATCGACTCCAGGCTGAGGGACTGATTGCCTCAAACTCCTCCTCTCCTTACACCCTTCTGCTTTGTATTGGACTGATGAAGCCACTGTGTGGCGAAACGTTTCCTCATTAAAGATATTCAGATGTTGTAAATGTGTCTAATTTATCAACTTGTCGGTCCTCTGAACCATTTATCTACACCAATATTATTACACTGACAGCTTGTGCCATTTCGAACCCGACTTCCCGATGTTCGGGGAAGATTTGTTCCCCAAAGCTGAGCGACGAAAGAAAAGAAACAAAAGTTTCTTTGTAAATAGAAATAGAAACTTGAAGTTTCCAATCAGATCCGATGGACCACCTTGCCAAGCCCCAGCAGAGCGAGACGTCTACATCCCAACTGAGTTTAGTAACCGGCTTCCCATCAAAACCGTTAAAGAATTATCCGCAAAGCAGAAAATTGGAGCTGGCTAAAAGTAAATCAATGAACATGTGCCCCTCCTGTAAGTAAGTAAGTAAGTAAGTAAGTAAGTTTATTCAGGTATACACAAATACAGTTACATAGAATTATCATACATAGCAGCATATGTGTAGAGAACCTAGGATAACCCAAAAAAGTCAGACAGAGTGACTTATTTCCATTGGGGTCCTTTAAAGTAAAGTTCCCAGCGAGCAAAATGGATGAGGACAAGCATCCCAGAGAGAACGGGGAGAATTTATCACTGGTATGCGAGAGAGAGAGACGTCCACACCCGACGGCTGGCGCAGAAGTCGATTGTAGGTGTTGTTGGAGAGATTTATAGGACCACTGACTGCATACGCCGTATCGAACCCTGCCATGCAGTGCCCGGAAAAAAAAGTCGACCGAAGGGGAAGGAAGTTGACTGATGGATGCTAATTTTTTTTTATTTCTTTGTTTAGTATACAACACGTGATTTACATATTAATATTGTTAAATGCAGAGAGAACCACTAACATGCCTGAGCATTTCGGACATTTCGTATTATTGTCCCCAATGAACCCTGAAGCCACCATCTAAGGAATACTTGAACCCAAAAGTTGTTGTTGTTATTGTATGATGTATTGTACTCCTCTTTATAAAAATAAAGTTTATTTAAATCCCGGCATAGTCGAACACCTTCTCAAACATCATAAATCAACAGCAGCAGGCTTTTTTTATAACTAGCTCAAGTATGGCGCCTGACCATCTGGCCAGTAGCTGTCATTGCAGATAAGAAACATCTCGAAGAAGACGAGTATTCTTTGATAAGGAACAACCCTACCAGGGAGAGAAAACAGGAAAAAAGTGTACAATAATGCTCAAGGAAGTAGGGTTGAGCGAGATGTTTCATTTCAACATCGACGCAAAAGTTCCAACACAAAACCTATGGAATTTTCTTGCAAGCTGTCGTAGCCCTTAAAAAACAACAGCAACAATATGCCTTTTATTTCTTTATGCGTTACTAAAAAAAAGTAGTTTACATTTAATAAAACATTAGTAGGCAAAAAAGGAAGCATTAATAATAGCAACAAAACAATAACAAAATATAAAACAAAGACAAACTTTGTTTCTATAAAATACAAACACTGATCGACATATATAAACGCTTTACAGAAATCATCACCTGAATAGTTTATATATTTATTTCTATTAATACGCATTTCCCGATTTAAAAAAAAACTCACAATTTATACTTAATTCTTTCCCCCCCTTTTTTTTCGTACTGACTGTATTAAATACAATATTATTTTTGTGGTATAAATGTAACGTGAGGGCGCGTGCGCGAGGCTGGTCCAGGGAGCTGGTGTTGTTTGCGCCTCTCATGCCATCCTCTCCTCTGCTATATTTAGGCGTCTTTACCTTGCCTCTCAGTAAGTGTTTCAATATAGCATGTGCGTGCATTGCTGGTGTGTTATTATTGCACGACCTCAGCCACTTTGTGTGTGATAACGAGTGTGAGGGGGCGCAGCAGTGTGTAAAGCAGCAAGAGATGGGAGGAGAGCATGAGGGGAACATTAAACGAGGGGAACCTAAACTTACTCACCAGTTTTAACATCATTGTGCAGCCCGGTCTTGTGGGATTATAATTACGACTGTCTTACACCTCTAACAAGGACCTCACAGAGAGGAGTCTTTATCGCAGTTAGAAGTTTTATATCTTTATTTTGAAGTTTTTAATGTGATTAAAAATAGATGTTGTCTTGACATCTCAGGTGGATTATATATATATATAGTTCTAGATACAACCCAAGGCCATGTCTGAAGGTCAAGAACTTCTGCATATAGTGCAAGGTGCAGCAGCAGCAGCAGCAGCCATCACACTAATACAAATAAGAATACACTTCCAAAAATAATCACATGCAGTTAAATCCGAAGTTACATTCTACATAACTTGAAGCTGTTCTTAAAGTTGTAAATTATGTCTGAGACATAATAGAATTTACTTAACAGAGAATTTGGTGACAAGAATAGGACATTTTGACTGTGGTATATTGAACCATCCTATGACTTAATGATAAACTGTATATAATGGAAGTAAACTGTTTAAAACCTTATGTTCACACCTGTTTGGTTATTTTTATGACATTGACCAGTTTTTACTATATAAGTGCCCTTAAGGGTTTAGTGCTTTATTATGATTATAATAATACTATTTAAGTAATTGGTGTACTGTACTAGGTTACAGGAAATCTTCATATAATTTACCTTCAAGGGGATAAGATAAAATTTTGTTTGGATTTTTATAACCTAGTAATGTCAGTGCATCATCGGATCTTTTATAACCCAGTAATATCAGTGCATCATTGGAATCTTTTCATTTTATCCCCAAGGATGCGACCCACAACAGTGGGCTAACACCTTAGTACCATCTTGCTAAGTGAACAGGGACACAGGTGTGAGGAAATATGCTCATGGTTTTTCCTGTGCTGGGGTACAGCACAGGTGACTTGGTATGGATGCATGGGTGCTTTTGGCTTGGTAGCATCCTTAGGTCACACACTGAAGGTCTGAGATCAGTCCCCAGCATGAGTGAAATGTTAGGCATGATTCCTTACACCTCATATTGTTCATCTAGCAGTGGATAGGTATCTGGGTGTTAGTGGAGGGTCACATCTTGGGGGACAAGAATAAAGGACCTCAATGGAAATAAGACAAACGGCCCATGATGATGTGCTGACTTTACTGGGTTATTCTGGGGGGCTAACCCTTCACTAGGTTTAAAATCCAAATAAAATCTTATCTCGATTATACCAACACACCATGAGCACCTTGATCCTTATTGATCCAAAGAATTTGGACTATCCCTTGGATAAAACCTGATTACTTTCCATTCCCTAAATGCTATATGGCCTCTTATGTATTTAGAGCTTCTCATGAATATAATATTGTATCTAGATGTGCTTTCATTCAAGAGAAATATCCCCATATTCCATAAGTCTAGCCCTATAAATCTTGATGCCAAAAAAAAAAAAAAATGGTACAGAGAACAGTACAGATTTCTAATGCAGTTAATCCTTAAACTGCCAAAGGATCTAAAATAAGTGTGCCCTCATTTCTGGTGATCTTGAAAAAATAAAATTATTTGATTTTACCAGATTTATTTTTCATAGTCTTAGAAGTGCAGTAAGACAAGAATGAGTGAAATCTAATTATTATTTATGTAGATATAAAGGTTTGAAGGTGACAGTGCTCTGTTATGGAAGGAAGTTGCTGTGCTTTAACCTTTTTAAGATTTTTTCTAGTTATCTAATTATTTTTATGGATTGTATGTTTTACAGCTACTATATATGCTTTCATATCATATTTCACTTTATTGTCCAGTCACACTAAACAAATGTAAACACTGAACAGATATTAATGGCATTTACTGGCTCCCACAATGCCCCACATGTGAATTTTTTTTATACTGTGCACCTGTGGTACAGACCTGTTTTCTCTGATGCTGCCCCAACCAAGCTGGTTGGGACCATTTTGGAGGCTCTAGAATTTTCATATAAATTTACATCAGTGGCATTTTCCCAGTTAGCATAAAATTACGTCAACAACATTTCCCAAGTTGGCGTAAATTTACGTCATCGGCAGCTTAAGGATTAAATATCCAAGCAAGGCATGCCAGTATTTAGAGTTTGCAGCCTATCAGAAATGGCATTCTCTAGTTATTGCACAGAAACCAATTTGCTCAAGATAATTTCCAAATTAAAACTTATACTGTGTTCAGAAACAACGTGAAGTTTCCTTTGAGAAATAACACACCATTACTAAAAGCCTGAAATTGACACAGAATCGAACAACTCTAAATTTATTAAATATAATGATTAATAAAAAAAAACTGTGTTTTAAAACAGCAGTGTTAATGCACAGAGACAGTTAAACAAAACTGTATTGACAAGTTTAACTGTAATAATTATAAAAACTTTATTTGGTGGTATTCATGGTTTCTGGGCCACTGATAGGAATGTATCCTCCATGAGGGAGCAATGGACATTATTTTGATGATTAGAAATTTAGCTGATAGCAGGTTTTTGATCACCTAATGATTTTTCTCAGCTTTTTGCAATATTTTTATTGAAATAGGCCTATAATTCAAATGATTTTACCTATCACTTTTTTTTTTTTAATATTCTTTCAATGTGTGCCTTTTTTCTATTTGTCTTTTTTTCCTTCTTAATAAAATGCTGTACAGAATTATTCCCATCCAGATCATTTATTTCTGCACAATTATTTAAATTTCAGGGTAATATCTCATCTGGTCCCATTGTTTTGTTTCTGTCAATACAGTATCCAACATTAATTTATTTAATTTTTTTTTTTTGGCTAATTCAATGGCCCCATTTTAATTTGCTACTAAGATTCAAAATTCTGAAGATGTAGTGTATAAAACTGAAAATTGTGTACTGTACTGATTTGGAATATCAGTAATAATTAGGTGTTAAGGGAGTTAAGTATGTTCAGTTGTTACTTATGTATATTAAAAGAGTGTCAGGGATTATTTATACAGTGGTACCTTGACTTACGAGTGCTCCAACTTACGAGTTTTCTGAGTTACGAGCCGTCGCTCGGTCGATTTTTTGCTTTGAGTTGCAAGCCAAAATCCAAGTTACGAGCGAGCTTCAGATACGCTGCCACTAATTGGCAGTGTATCTGAAGTCAAATCCTACTCTGTACCCAGAGGAATGTCAGGTACTTTGTCCCATCCCACATGCTCTTCCAAGACAAAACTGGAAGGATAATACTCCCACACTTATCCCAGATTGTAGTGAGGCACCTTGTCCCTTGTTTGGTTCTCATATAAATCCGGGGAAGAGGTAACCTCCATTTCAACACTCAAGAGTTTCTTCAGAAACATTAAGAAAGGTCTCCGTGATATTTACCTGCCTCATGGAGGCTCCTTCAGTAGGTGGAGTACTGATAGTGTGGGTGGAGTAGTGATAGTGGTGGGTGGAGTACTGATAGTGGTGGGTGGAGTAGTGATAGTGGTGGGTGGAGTAGTGATAGTGGTGGGTGGAGTAGTGATAATGGTGGATGGAGTAGATATGGTGGTGGGTGGAGTAGTGAGGGTGGTGGGTGAAGTAGAGCTGATGGTGAGTGGAGTAGTGAAGGTGGTGGGTGGGGCTGGAATGGATTAACGGCAATTCATTTAATTTCAATGAGGAAAATTGATTTGATATACTAGCATATTGAGTTACGAGCTCTGTCACAGAACAAATTAACTTCGTAAGTCAAGGTACCACTGTATGTAAATAGTATTAAATTTTTTATATAGATTTATTTAATAGAGTAGAAATCCATCTGGCATCAAAACAAAAGAGTTAGAACAATGAAATGGCAATTCCAGTAGCAAAATTTTGAAAATTTTGAAAATTTCATATACATACTGTGTGAAATTTTTACTGTTCAATGAAGCTTTTTTTTTTGTGCCCATTTATACATATATTCTGTTGAGTTTAGATAAATAGTGGCCATAATGTTTCAGATACTCATATATTTTTAATCAGATTATTTTGTCAGTATCTCTTATCTGATATCTCTTATCACTATTAGCTGTATATTAGTGTATTAACCAAACTCTGATACACTACAGTAAGTATTTTTCATTTCTAACAATAGAACAATGCCTTATCACTTCTGACTAGCATTTAGGATCAGACCAACTTCTTTGACTTAAGAGAGGCACTGTTCTACAGTACCTCAGTCTTGCCTTAATAATGAATCCTCATGCATGGTAAATAAAATTCAAAGGTGGTAGTATGTACAGTAATGTGCTCTTTTAACATGAAAAGTTTAATGTTATTCATTGTGCTTAATGTGTTGAAAAAAGTTATCATGAAAATCTGTTAATTACAAGAAAATATTTCAGTAACTTAAAAAATTTATCTTTTATCAAAGAATTTAGCTTATGAAGCACTGTAAGGCACAGATTGACGTGAACTAACTATTGAACAGTACAGTACATTGTATTTGACAACACAATGGCTGAGGCACCAAAACAGAAAAAACAGACAACCGTCAGGGATATTCTGGCAGCAGTTCAACAGATACAGCCAGTCTACAATCCATTATCTACTTATGAAAATAAAATGTCTTCTGGCTTTGGTGTGTGCATGGACGAATGCTACCCAGGCATCTACATTGGTGACCTGTAAGTAATGTTTTATTTTTGTACTGTATATTTTCAGTACTGTATTTATACATGAGTTTTACATTTTTGAATTTGTAGGTCAGCAAGTTGTATGTTTACATTCTTTTATGTCTTGTCTGTACCTGTGCTTACAGATGCACAACCTACATACAGTACTATGGCATTATCTATGAGTTTGCTTCTGGGAAGCAATGTCAAGTGGACCAGGGGTCCCCACCTGACCATCTATAATTTCGATAAAATTTTACACGAAGGTTGGCATATATGTCATACTATCTTCGGGAAAGTTTTAGTTCAAAATATGCAGTAGTAGTAATGCTAAGGCCCTCAGAGTGGAGGCAGGTGAAAATTTTGCCAACCTGCAGCACACAGCAGTGTTCAGGTTATTGCTGTGGCAGATATAGAAAAGTAAAACTTATGTAAGTATACATGCCCATACAACTTTTGGAGCTGATTTCAAAAATTGCTGTCCTAAAACTTAACATACTTTTACTTTTTTTCACAGAATGAAGCCAAAGTAGGCAAAAATTCTGTCACATAAAATTGAATCTTGAATTCAGCTGCCTGTATCTCTAAAGGAAAACATTATTTTAGTATGACATTATTGTAGCCAGCTACCCAAGTGGACATTGTCACAATCCTAAAATATCAGACTCCAAATGTTTTTAGCTCCTGTGCTAATGGTACTAAAAATGCCCTCACAGACCTCACAGTGAATTTTAGGCCATTTTGAAGATGATTAGCAAAAAAGCAGCACAACCAATTTTCTAAAATCCTTCATTAGAAAGAGCACACTTTATTCCATTGAGCTACAGTATAATGTACATCTTAGGTTTTTTTATTATTACATATAAGCAAGTAAAGACTGGACAGCTATCATTACACCCATGAATATTACACATTTTCATTTATAGTCCCCACAAGGACTAAATTAAAAGAGACACTACCTAAAAACGTATACATATATAAAACATACATACAAACAGACTAACAACTTTTATTTCTGTAAAGTGGCATACTACACAGTTAATAAATAACAAAAAAAGGCACAATACCGTGACTGGAACGATACACAAATAACCCGCACATAGAAGAGAGGAGTTTACGACGACGTTTCGGACCAACTTGGACCATTTACAAAGTCACACTAACAAGAAGTGGAGCAGGACGGGTATATATAGGCAGGAAAAGGTAGTGGTGGTAGTAGTAGTAGTAGTGGTGGTGGTAGTGGTAGTGGTAGTGGGGAATTAAGGAGGAGGAGGAGCCAGTCAAATACAAAGAAAGGGGAGCACTGCAAGGGAGCTAGGTGCCCACAGAGGGAGAGCAAGAACACAGAGGTGGGGGGGAGGGGAAGTAATGAAATAAATAATGAAGGAACAGAAACACAAGACAGAAGAAAGAAAGACAGCCCATAAGAGAGAAGAAAAAGGGAAAGAGGAAAGGGGAAGAGGGAGAAGAAGAAAAAAGGAGGAATCAGGATAAGTCGCGGGTGTTCTGAAGTTTGGAGCATTTTACAATGTAGTGGGAGAGGAAGCCATCTACAGAGATGAAGCCAGGACTAAGATTCATACAGGGAAAGTTGTGTAGTAGGGAGGTTTCAACCAGACGGCAACTGTTAAAGTTGAAAGTAGGGAAGACAGTTTTAGCAGAAGACCAGTCAATAGGATGGCTGTGATCTCTGACGTGACAGAAAAGAACATCATTAGTGTCGGCAAGCCTAACACTATTTTTATGCTCCCTAAGTCTGTCAGAAAGAGATCGACCAGTTTCTCCAAAGTATTGAAAAGGACAGGAGGAGCAAGAAATAGAGTAGACACCAGGAACATCTGTAGAGGGAGGAGAGGTATGAACGAGATTAGTGCGAAGAGTATTAGTCTGGCAGAAAGTAAGCTTGATGTCTCAGGGACGGAGAGAATTGTTGAGATTAGAAAGACCGGAAATGTAGGGAAGGCAGAGGACGGAAGAGTTCCCAGGAGTAGAGAGTTTGGGAGAGAAGAAATTACATTTAGCACGTGAGAGGGCAGAGTCTGTGAAATGGGAAGGGTAGCCAAGATGAGAACACGAATTATGAAGAGTGGAAATTTCTGCTGCAAGGAACTGAGGATCACAGATGCGGAAGGCATGGAGAAAGAGGGAGATAAGAACACTTTTCTTGACAGGTGAAGCATGATATGAAAAGTAGTGAATGTACATGCCACTGTGCATAGGTTTGCGGTAAATGGAAAAGGAAAAACCTGTATCTGAGCGGTGGACATGGACATCAAGGAAAGGAAGCAAGGAATTAGATTCCCATTGAGCTTTAAACTTGATGGAAGGGGCAAGATTATTAAGAGCTTCAAGAAAAGGTTGGAAGAGACTGGAGTCATGAGGCCACAGAGCAAAGACGTCATGGTCCAAGTCGGACCGAAACGTTGTCGTAAGCTCCTCTCTTCTGTGTGCGGGTTATTTGTGTATACTACACAGTTTACAGTTAAGGTAATTGAGATGTACAAACTACTTTATAGAAAGCCCCTTGTTATGCAAATCATTTCAGACAGCCTGAAAACTGACTTATAATTACTAGACAGTGAGACATGTGTAGTACATGAGAATAAGAATACACGCATAGTTTATACTGTATTGAAGATATTCGGTAGTTTAAAAAAATCTAATTAAAGATATTTTAAGGATGAAGCTAGGCAACTGCATTAATACACAAGTCCATAATCATGCACCCCAGGAGCAAAAAAAAGTTTATAGATTCGTATCCTCAGGTATTCTTTCCTTTCCCTCTCTTCTCTTCCTACCCCTTCCAGTGCCTCCCATGTCCTTTTTTTCATCCAAAGTAGGCATTATTTACTTTTTTGCAGCTATAATAGCTTTAGACTTTCTTACTCATATTTTTTAGATGCAGAAACCACACTACCACCACCACTACATTTATGTGATCTTCCAGTAAGAAATGTTTTGTCTATAATTTCTATAATTATGCTCTACATTTGGCCTTTTATCACATTTTCCCATTTCTTTTACAAGGCACTTATCTTCATTAAATTCCATCATCTGTCATTCCATTCACTCAGTTTATCAAAATTTTCTTGTTGGGATTTAGTAATTTTTATTATGATACTGATTTTCCATAGTGTTTTCATCATTTGCAAACATTTTTATACTTATTTTTATTCCTGGTATTAACAGAAGGAGAAGTAGCGGCCATGTCAGGAAGGGTTGGAGAAAAAAAAAAAAAGAGGGTAAAAGGAAGTTTTGAGTGCTAGGGGCTTGAAAATCCAACAAGCTTGTGTGAGTGTGTTTGATTGGAATGAGTGGAAGCAAGTCATTTTTGGGACTTGCCATGCTGTTTGAGTGTGGACAAGGTAACATTTATGAAGGGACTCAGGAAAACTAGTTAGCTTTTAACCATTTACTTTATATATAATTACAGTAGTATGTATATTTCAGGTAAACTTAAACCAGGAGTAAAACTGATTTAAAAACTTGCACAGTATAATAAGGCATTTAAACTTTTTCCAGATCAGTAAGTGGTACATATATATAGTCACTGTATTTTTACAGTACTATAGCAGTGTATCAAGATTGTAAACTCTATCCTCATAAATCTTCTTTTATGCTTGTAAGTGATTTTTTAATAACTTGTGTATGGCTTTTCAGTGCAGCAGCAAAGAACAAAGATTATCTGAAGATGATTGGCATAACACACGTCTTGAATGCTGCACAGGGTAATAAATTTGCCACTGTGGACACTGATGCTGAATTTTATAAAGATGTTGGCATCAAGTACATGGGTATCAAGCTGCTAGATATACCATCAGCAAATATAGCCCAGTTTTTTGATAATAGCTCCCAATTCATAGATGATGCTCTGTCAAGTGGGGGTGAGTAAGAGTTGTAATCCTCTATGCTATAAAGAAGTATTTAGTGTTAAGAAGTAATGTCACATAAAAAAAATTACGCTAATTTTTTGACCCTTCAGATGGGATGGTGCCTTGATGCTGGCAAAGGGTTTTAGATCCAGGGAATTAGAGCTACAATCCTTTTCCTTGTATCAATCCTGGTTACTTTCCATCCTCCAGGTGTCTTAAAACACATGCATATTTACCAGTTACCCATGATTATAATAATGCAGGTTAAGTATCTCTTATCCAAAATTCCATAATTCAAAAAGCTCTGAAATCCGAAACTTTTCAAGTGCCAACGTAACGCCATTGGTGGAAAATCTCGGTTGGCTCTGGAGGAGGTCCCCCCCACATTGCAGAGATCTTTGCATACCCAGACAATTGTGACATATGACCTTGCATACCTTGACGCTCTGTTGGTGCCACTTTATCACCATTTATCACTGCTTGATTTACATACATTACTCACTATGATTACCATGTGTTTGGTGCTTATTCTCTGCTGTGTAGTGCAAAGATATTGTTGAAAATATAAAAAAAAAAATCTGCAGATACACCTGTGAGTAACAATGATAGGAAAAAATACAGTGTACAGGCCTTTTAATCAAAACACAGCATTGTAGGTGGAAACTGAAAGCTTGCCATTGTTTGGTGTCATTTTTTTAACAGCTGATGCAGGTATTCTGCCAATGCTGCTGTGTTACTTTTGTTATTAAAAATATTGTTTTTGTTAATACAGTATTGTATAAATCTACTTTCAAGGCTATTTGTATAAGTTGTATATGAAATATAAATGGATATTATGTTTAGACTTGGGGTCTCATCTCCAAGCTATCTCATTACAGTAAGACTTCTGTATCCACGGATTCGGCATCTGCGGTTTTAGTTATCCATGGTTTACCGTGGCCCAAAAATAACCTTAATTTTGTTTAATAATGGCTCCAAAGCACAAGAGTAGTGATGCTGGCAGTTTTTCAAGGCTAAGAGAAGCTGTGAAATGCTTCCCATCAGTGAAAAAGCACTAATTCTAGATTTATTTTGCTTAATTTATCATTTAAACTATCATAGGTATGTATGTGAACGAAAAATGACTTATATAGTATTGGGTTCGCTACTATCCACGGTTTCAGGTACCCCCATTAGGTCTTGGAATGTATCCCCTGTGGATACTGGGGGAACTACTGTATATTCCAAAATCCAAAAAATTCTTAAATCCAAGACACTTCTGGCCCCAAGCATTTTGAATAAGGGATGCTCAACCTGTAATATTAAAAATGCAGCATTTTCATGTGGATAGATTTTGTGCTGCTTTATAACAGAAGTTGATCAGTAAATGTTAGTTGGTACTGTACAGTATAAAAACAAGTTGCACACACACACACACACACACACACACACACACACACACGTGTATATATACATGTATATATATATATAAACAAGTGTAATCATTTTGTAAATCTCAAATTTGTGTACATAATAAAACAAGCATATGTCATTTTTCTTCTTTTATAGGAAAAGTGTTGGTCCACTGTTTTATGGGCATTTCACGCTCAGCAACAATTGCTGCTTCATATCTAATGTTGAAAAAACACATGTCAGCTGTGGAGGCAATACAAACTCTTCGTAAAAACAGGGCCATATACCCTAATGATGGGTTCCTCAGTCAGTTGGCTGACCTTGATAACAGGCTGAGGAAGGAACGAGGAGAGCTTTAGAAAAGATTTGATGTGCTTTGAAATGTTATTATATTACAGTACAGTATATACTTTCTTTTCACACATAGCATGATTATTTTTTGTTAAAAAATCTTTCCCTTGACATATTTTGTATTCATATAAATGCAGTAGAGTGCATTGCACTTGGATTGCAGAAAACAAGGGTTTAAATATTTTACAGGAACATTTTATTTCTGGTTCAGTGAGTTATTGTGGAAGATTTTTAAAACTTTCTTTATTGTAGCATTACATATCTGGTTCTCTTATTGTGATATTGAAGAAATTGATGTTAAAATGTGTTGATGTTTCAGATATTTGTTGCATAATGAATAAGCAGGTCATTACAGAAAAACATAAGCTTCATAAGTGCTTAATTATTGGATATGTATTGCAGTGGCAAAATACAAGAAAAGAGATGAATACATTCAGTATACATTATATGCAAGACTTGATCTGCCCTGACTTTAAATGGCCAAACTAATGTGACTCAAGATAAAGTAATGAAAATGATAGTCACATCAGATGACAACCCTAAAACTTTCCACTGATTTTAATGACAACAGACTGTAGCTCATAAAAATCCAGTGGTTATGTTCAAATTACTCTTTGCAGTACTCTGCATGATGCTATATTAATTTACAGTACAGTTTACAAATAAAGTGACAGATAAATGCACACATTTATTTCAGTCAGTAAAGTTATTATATATTATGTTTGACATATGGTAAGTAAATAACTCACCTGACTCTTAACCAAAATATATACCATACTTGCTATACTGTACTTACAAAATTCTTAAGTACCTGTAGTAAATATTTCAGACATAAATTTACCAAATTATTTTCTCATGTTAAAGATTGAAATTATCTTATTGACAGGAATAAAGAATGTTTGATTGTCTGTCATTTCTTTTTTAATATTCTGATGAATATAGCCTTGAAAGCTACCATAGATCATTTTTTTTTTATTAATAGGATCAGTAGACAGAGAAGTAGGCTAGAGGCAGTAGAACTGTCATATTTGAGAGCAGTGTGTGTTGTGAATATTATGTAGTAAATTTGAAGCATAGAAATTAGATGACAGGTGCGGTTACCAAAGGAATAATTCAGAAGGCCAAGATGTGTTGTTGCAAGGGCTTAGATATTTAGAGAGGATGGAGCTGAAGAGGATGACCAAGAGGGTATATATATAGGTGGAATGAAGGAGTGGGTAGGGACATGTATATACGTACTGTGTGCATGAAGTGTGCATGCATCACATTTTAAATGACCCTCCAAACAATGGGGGATGGGATGTGGTTCAGAGTTATTTGAATTGTAATGTCCACACACTTCTGACAAGAAAACCATTGAAGGAATGATGGTGAATGTGCTTCCTTCTTTGGGTCACCCTATCTTGGTAGGAAATGGCTAATTTTAGTAAAAATATAGATATACTGTAGCTGTACTCTACATATATAGAGTGCCTCATCAAAGGCTAATTTAGAAATCATAAATATAGGAGGAATTTAAAGTTTTACAATGGATGGGAGATTTTCAGTTTGAGATACAAGGAGTTATAAGAAAAAATTCAAGGTAAAAAGTCATCATCTGAGTCCCACAAGGATCTACTTTTACTTCGATAATATTTCTGATTTATGTGAATGACTTATCATGAAGACTTACAAAACCATATAAACATTTTTGCTGTTGATGCAAAAATCCTGTGCAAATCAAATAATAAAAATGACTAAATCCCTACAAGAAGACAGGGATAAATTAAACAAATGGAGTGGCAGTAGTGATACACTCATATGCAACACTGGAAGACTTCCCAGTAAACTTCAGATGTGTAGAAGTTGACCAACATAAGGTTGGTCAAAACTGGAATTTGCAACACTAATTTAATGTGTCTGCCAAAAAAAAGCATGTGATAAAAGAAGAAAAAGCCTAAGAACATGCTATAAAATATGAATTGGTAGTGTATATGATAACCACTTGTAAGATCATAGCAGGATACAAGACTGTTTCTTGAGTAGTGGAGGCTTGATCCCCCATCCTCTTCAAGGGGGGTTCCTTGGCGTGGTGAAGAGGCTCTTGGTCCGAGGAATTAGACTTGTTGGTCTCCTTCCTCAGACCGAACCTAATTACCCCCCAATCCCCCTTCCCTATCCTATCTTCCCCATCGTCCCTTTTTCTTTTCCTCTTTCTCCTCCCCATCCCTCCCTTCTTTCCTTCCTCTTATTGGCCTTTGGGATTCTTCCCACAGGCACACTAGTTCCTAGGTAGAGGGAAGGGTACTGGGGTCCATCCCATTCCGTTGAGGTTCTTGGCGGTGGTGTAGTTTGCCGTGGAATCTGGATCGCCTGGGGATGTCCCGATCCCTCTCCGGTCTCCCGGGGGGTGGCTTTGGATGTCTTTCGGGCAACGGGTGCATCTCTGGAGGCTGCCTTTCAGATTCCAGGGGTGGTGGCCAAAGGAGGTATGCTTTGTGGCGGGTATCCGGCCGCCCTCTTTTGTCCACCGAGGTAGCTCGGCAGATGTGAAGTTGCTATCCCGGATTGCTGGTTTACTGGCATAAAGGGTAGGATATGGCACGGGTTCCATGCCGCATCTGCGCTACTTGCGGTGCTGAGGTCCTCTTGGGCATGGAGGAAGATTTCCGGCCCTTTCATTCCTCCTAGGAACTATTCCTCCCCATTCCCCCCTTTCTTTATTCTTTTTTTTTATTTTTATTTTCTTTCTTTTTTTTCTTAAAAGCAAAAAGAAAGAAGTAACCTAACCATGGAAGACCCAGTCCATGACCCTGCTATCCCCGGGCCCCTTCTTGATACCGCACCCCATTCTGACCCTGCCTAGTTTTTTGACCACTCTTCGGACACTCCTGATGCCCCTGTACCTCTTGCTGGTGCTGTATCATCACCCGCTACAAGTACTGGGATTTTGACTGACTCCTTCGATTTGTCTGACCTCCACTCTCCTTTGACTATGCTTCTGTCCTCTCCCTCTACGGTGCAGCAATTTTCGAATCACCAGCCCGTCCCATATCGGACCAACTCCGGTCCCACTCCTAAACGCCAACGTCAATTGCCTGATGATGATACTTCGCTACCTTCTCGTTCTACTCAGAAGAGGCCGACACGCCATGCACTCCCTTTCCACGCTCAGTTTCAGAATGCACAATGGACTAAATTCTTTACTTTACGACCGACTTCTTCTATTGCCTATCTTTATAACCATAGCATTGGCAAGGTGCTCCTATGCCATGTTGGTAGAGATATTTCCTTTCCTTGTACATAGCAAATCAAAATTGTAATTACACACTGTAACCTTTACGAAGAAATAAAATTATTATTATTATTATTATTATTATTATTATTATTATTATTATTATTATTATTATTCATGCTCGCAAGAGCGGTACGCGCATCATCACTGTCCAGAATGCTCCCCAAATTCATAATCTTTCCCTTCTTTCACATGATACTATTCCTGTCACTATTGAAAAACATCATTCCCTCAATTCTTGTAGTGGCACTGTCATTCTGCCCCATACCATAGTCCAACAGAATTTCCAGACATGTGGCAATGACATTCTCGAACAGCTGGAACTCCAAGATCTCCCAATCTTCAAAGTAGACACTTACGTCCTTCCTGCCTGCAGGCGGAGACGATACCCTTGCAATGTGGCTCGATTAACTTTTAACAGCCGTGAACTCCCATCCTCTGTTTATGTAGCAGGACATCGGTTACAAGTTCGAAAGGGGATCCCTACACCGCAACAGTGTAGAAATTGCTGGCGATTTGGTCACCCAGCGAACTATTGCAGATCTATAGCCGAATGCCCAGTCTTTGGTGCCGATGACCATTCTAATACGTCTTGTAGTCGACCTCCCTCTTGCCTTGTCATGAGGCTCACCCTTCTTACTCTCACCATTGCCAGGTCTACTTAACCCTTTCAGGGTTTCCGACGTACTAGTACAGCTTACACACTAGGGTTATTGATGTACTAGTACGCCTAAATTATAGTGCCTTCAAATCTAGCGAGAGAAAGCTGGTAGGCCTACATATGAAAGAATGGGTCTATGTGGTTAGTGTGCACAGTATAAAAAAATTCCTGCAGCGCACAGTGCGTAATGAGAAAAAAAAACTTTGACCGTGTTTTTGGTTTAAAACAGGGACTTTGCACTGTATTTTCGTATGGTATTTATGGTTGTATTCTAGTTTTCCTGGTCTCATTTTATAGAATGGAAGACATATTACGGAAATTGAGATGATTTTGATTGGTTTCACAATGAAAAGTACCTTGAAATTGAGCTCAAAGTAGCAGAAATGTTCGATTTTTGCCAAAGTTCAAAAGTAAGCAAATCATGCCACGCATCCAATACACATCAACTGGTGAGTCTAATATTCTTTCACAAGTGCGCTGATATTATTTATATCATTTCTACACTAATGCAGTAGTCTGCGTAACAGTAAATCTTCTATTTCTTGTTGGGAATAAAAATTCAAAGTGGAAAGCAAAAGAAATGTAACAGAGGCCTGGGGACATGACTAATGAACAGAGGAAATATTATTTTAGTGCCAGGAATGTTTGTGTTGTTTATTCTGGACCCTATTTGGAAATTGTCATCTTTTGAAATTTGTGTGAAATTGGCAAAATTGCTAATTTCTGACCACTTTATTGGATAGTTGAAATCGGTAAATGGGTGGTTTCTTGTACTCATTCGAGAGAAAAATGGAGTTCTAGTGAAATAGTTATGATTTTGTCAACTAGTACACTGGAATTGGCCGAAAATCGTCGCTGCATAAACATCGTCGAGACCGCTAACTTCACGAGAGCATAATTCCATAAGTTTTCCATCAAATTTCATACTTTTGGTGTCATTATGATCGGGAAAAGATTCTCTATTTTTTTTCATAAGAAAAAACAATTCTTTTTTTTTTTTTTCGAAAAATTTTCAACCTTGAGAACAAGTTTAGGAGAGGGCCTCTCAACCCTGAGTGGGTTAAATGAGCAAGAAATCCGTTTCCTTAAAGAGGCAGAAGGTCTCCCTTATGGTATGGCAGTTTCTCATCTATGCCTCTTATTCTTGTGTTTCTAAACATTCCCCCACTTCTGGGGTCCCGTTTTCTGCAACCTCCTCTGTGGTTACCCCTCCCATAGTCACTCCTGTCTCTAATTCTTTTGCTGTCCTGGGCTCAGAAGTCCCTACTTCAACACCTCCGTCTGTTCTCACATCTTCATGTTCTCCCTCACAAGCCCTGGTATTGACAAGACCTCGTACGACACCTCCTCCCAATCGCCCCTCTACTTCTCAGAAGTCCAAAAAATCCCCATTGCTCAAATCTCCTTTAACCCCTCCTTCCCTTCTTCCACCTCCACATTTTACCTTTCCAGTCTCTGTACCTGGTTCTCCCCCTCTCACTGGCTCTGTTACAAGTGTGGAGGCTCGCCCTCCTCCTCTTACTGTGCCTTCCTCCCCTGTCCCCTCCCAAGTTTCTTCCTCTTCTGTCCCCTCCCACACTTCTTCTCCAGTTCCCTCCACCCTTTCGTCATCCCCTACTTTGGTACAGTCCATTACTGTCCCAATTTTTATTCACCCTCCTCCTTCCATCTCCAATATTGTCTCCCATACAACGTCTTTGAGTTCCGAAACACTTGAAGCTATCTCAGAATATATTGCAGAGACTAAACCATCAATGGACACTGGTCCGCCCTCTGTTCCTTCTCTTTCCTCTCCTCCATCTGCACAACTCCTTTCTTCACAGCGTTCCGTTCCTTCACTACTTGAACGTTTTCCGCTGCCACCACATGTGGACTTTTCAAACCCCTCTAGTCCGTAGGTACCCTTACCTGTGGATTTCTGGTATCTTTATTGCTACCAATCATGGCCTATTTACAGTGGAATATCCGCGGCCTCAGGAGTAATCAGGGTGAGCTTCAGATGTTGCTTTCCCGGTTTTCCCCTGTTGGTGTTTGCTTACAGGAACTAAAATTACACTCCGCTGTTATCTGTCCCATCTCAGGGTATAATTTACTGTATTCTTCGGATCCTTTTCCTGATGGGACCTTTAATGAAAGTGCACTTCTTCTTTGCACTGATATTCCATACCATCAACTATTTGTTCGTAAATCGCTGCATTACACTGCAGCCCGTATCCACTTGCATAAGTGGTATACAATCTGTTCTTTGTATCTCTCTCTCCTTCTCGGGCATTATCTATACCGGATGTTGCCTTTCTTGTCTCGTCCTTACCACCACCACTTCTGTTACTAAGCGATTTTAATGCTCATCATTTCCTCTGGGGGGGGATCTCACTGTGATTCCCGTGGCATTCAGTTGGAGGCTTTTCTTGCTTCTCACCCCCTCCATGTTTTAAATACAGGTACTCCCACCCATTTTGATCCTCATACTCATACTCTCTCTTGCATCGATCTCTCGGTCTGCTCTTCCTCCACTGCACTAGACTTCACCTGGTCTGTTCTCCCGGACTTACATGACAGCGATCATTTTCCAATCATTCTTCTCCTTCATATTTGCCACCGCTTCGTAGCCCACGCTGGTAATTTGATCAAGCAAATTGGGACCTTTACTCACAACTAACTGCTTTTAGTGAGGTCCCTTCTTCGTCCTCCATTGATGAGCTTTTACACATCTTGTCCTCAGTTTTAACTGCAGCTTCTCATTCTATACCCTAAACCTCAGTCAGGCATTCTCAGAATTGCGTGCCTTGGTGGTCTTCTGCTTGTGCTCACGCAGTACGTTTGAAACATGCTGCGTGGGGCAGGTACTGGTACAGTAGAACCACTGAGAGACTTCTTGATTTTAAGGAGAAGCGTACAGTCACTCGCCGTGTCATCCGTGACGCTAAACACACTTGCTGCCGAGTTTATGTTTCCACCATCACTTCTGCTTCCTCTGAGTGCAGTCTGGAAAAAAGTACGGAAACTGAGTGGTAAATACTCTCCTGACCCGGCTCCTGTTCTGCGGATTGCTGGTGTTGATGTAGCAAACCCTCTTAACGTTGCCGTTGAAATTGGTAATCATCGGGTCCGTATTTCTCAGGGGCTACATCTATGCCCCTCGTTTCTTTCCTCAAAGTCTGCCAGAGAGTTAGTGCCCTTAGACTTTTCTTCTCTCAAAGAAGAATCTTATAACGTGCTTTTTACACTTCAGGAACTGGAGGCAACACTCTCAGCTTGCCGATCATTGGCAGCTGGGCCAGACGACATTCGTATTCGGATGTTACGATATTTACATCAGTCAGCCCTTGAAGTCCTCTTACATCTCTTCAATCTTATTTGGTCACAAGGAGTTCTTCCCAAGCTGTAGAAATCTGCCGTTGTTCTCCCTTTCCGCAAACCAGGTACTACAGGACATGATGCCTCCCACTACCGTCCCAGTGCTCTTACCAGTGCAGTTTGCAAGGTGATGGAACGTCTGGTACATCGACGTTTAACCCTTAAACGGTCCAAATAGATCGACTTTCAAATCCGTAGTGCTCCAAAAGTAGATCTATGTTGTTTTTTTTTCATATTTTCAAATATAGCAAAAAAAAAAAAAATGCAGATAAAGTTTTTTACACATTTTCAAATGTAAAAAAAAAAAGATGATGTACATTTTTTTACACACTTTCAAATGTTGAAAAAACGTATATACAGTGGACCCCCGGTTAACGATTTTAATCCGTGCAAGAGAGCTCATTGTTATGCGAAATTATCGTTATGCGAATGAATTTTCCCCATAAGAAATAATGGAAATCAAATTAATCCGTGCAAGACACCCAAAAGTATGAAAAAAAATTTTTACCACATGAAATATACATTTTCCTACTCACAAAGAGAATGATACATGCACAATAGTAGAGTAGTACATGCACAATATATATTGTGCATGTACTACTCTACTAAATGAAGAATAAATGACACTTACCTTTATTGAAGATGCAGCAATGACTGATGAGACACTGTGTCCTGGGAGTGCCTTTTCCTCCTGAGTACTGTAGGTCCTGTTTGGCATTTTCTTCCAGAACAGGCCTTATCACACTGTGTATGCCACTACGATTCTTAAATCTCTCAAACCAACCTTTGCTGGCTTTAAATTCACCAATATGAGCACTAGTTCCAGGCATTATTCCCTGTTCACCTGGGTGTTAGTCGACTTGTGTGGGTTGCATCCTGGGAGACAAGATTAAGGACCCCAATGGAAATAAGTTAGACAGTCTTCGATGACACTGACTTTTTTGGGTTATCCTGGGTGGCTAACCCTCTGGGGTTAATTTTTTCTTGGTATTCTCAATAAGCCACACCAACAACGGTGCTACAGCAGCAGCAGACGATGCTACAGCAGCAGCAGACGGTACTACAGCAGCAGCAGCAGCTGACGGTGGTACAACAGCAGCAGCAGCAGCTGACAGTGCTACAGCAGCAGCAGACGATGCTACAGCAGCAGCAGACGGTACTACAGCAGCAGCAGCAGCTGACAGTGGTACAGCAGCAGCAGCAGCTGACGGTGCTACAGCAGCAGCAGCAGCTGACAGTGCAGCAGCAGCAGCAGCTGACGGTGGTACAACAGCAGCAGCAGCTGTACCACCAATAGTAGCGATGGTTGATTGGGGTTTATTATACAACCTGGCCAGCTCGGAGACATGCACTCCACTTTCATACTTATCAATGATCTTTTTCTTCATCTCTATAGTAATTCTCACCCTTATTGCTGTAGGGTTGGCAGTAGAAGCTTTCTTGGGGCCCATGGTCACTTATTTTGTAGATAAAATCACCAAAAACACTGTAATAATACAAAATGTTCCGATTGTATGCTTGGATGTTACCGCGGAGGCTGGCTGGTAAACAATGCCACCGGCGGAACATGTGAGCGTGGCTCAGGCCGCACATAGACGCGTCTCAGACGAACAGCGTTGAGTGGGTTTTTTAGCGGTATGCGAGGCAAAATCATGGTGATAAAATGTAGCGGTATGCGGATTTAACGTTATGTGATGCCAACGGTATGCGGGGGTCCACTGTATACGTTTGGACCGTTTAACTCTTTGAGGGTCGACAGGCCCTCTCCGAAACTCGTTCTCAGGGTCGGCCAAATTTAAAAAAAAAAAAAATTATTTTCTCTTATGAAAAGATAGAGAATCTTTTCCCGGTCATAAGGACACCAAAAGTTTGAAATTTGATGGAAAACTTACGGAATTATGCTCTCGCAAAGTTAGCGGTCTCGGCGATGTTTACGCATCGGCGATTTTGCCCACTTTGAGCCCCATTTTCAGCCAATTCCACTGTACTAGTCGACAAAAAAACATGAATATTTTGCTAGAACTCCATTTTTTCTATCGAATGGGTGCAAGAAACCAACCATTTATGAAATTCAACTATCCAGTACAGTGGTCAGAATTTAGCAATTTTACCAATTTCACACAAATTTCAAAAGATGCCAATTTCCGAATAGGGTCCAGAATAAACAAGAAAGACATTCCTGGCACTAAAATGACATTTCCTCTGGTCATTAGTCACGTCTCAAGGCCCCTCTTATATTCTTTTGCTTTCCACTTTGAATTTTTATTCTCACAAAAAATATAAGATTTACTGTTATGCAGACTACTGCATTAGTGTAAAAAATGGTATAAATATTATTGGTGCACTTGTGAAAGAATATTAGACTCACCAGTTGACGTGTATTGCACGCTTGGCACGATTTGTTTACTTTTGAAATTTGGTAAAAATTGAACATTTCTGCTACTTTGAGCTCAATTTCAAGGTATCTTTCATTGTAAAACCAGTCAAAATCATCTCAATTTCTGTAATATGTCTTCCATTCTATAAAATGAGACCAAGAAAACTAGAATACAACAATAAATACCATACGAAAATACAGTGCAAAGTCGCTGTTTTATTCCAAAAAAATGGTCAGTTTTTTTTTTCTCATTATGCACTGTGTACTGCAGGATTTTTTTTAGACTGTGCACACTGACCACATAGGCCCATTCTTTCATATGAAGGCCTACCAGCTTTCTCCCACTAGATTTGAGGGCGATAGAATTTAGGCGTACTAGTACGTCAAAAATCCTGGGTCATAAGCCATACTAGTACGTACGTCCGAAACCCTCAAAGGGTTAAGGGTTAATGTGGTATTTAGAGACACACAACAGTCTCTCCACTAGTCAATATGGCTTTCGTAAGGGTCGTTCTACCATAGACCCCGTACTGCGCTTGGATACAGATTTTCGTAATGCATTTGCAAATAACCACTCAATTATTGCAATATTTTTTGACCTTGAGAAGGCATGTGACACATCTTGGAGGTATAATATTTTGGCCCAAGCCCACTCCTTAGGCCTCCGAGGCCTAACTGACAGACATTTCCTTGTTCGGGTTAATAATATGCTCTCCCCGGACTTTGTCCAAGCTGACGGTGTTACCCAGGGATGTGTTCTGAGCACAACACTTTTTCTCCTTGCTATAAATGATTTGGCCTCTCTTCTTCCATCCAATATTTGGTCATCACTCTATGATGATGACTTCGTTATTGCTTGTGCAGGCGTTGACTGCCACCTCATTACAGTTTCTCTCCAGCATGTGGTCAATTGTGTTTCCAATTGGGCCACCACGCATGGGTTTAAATTTTCCAGTACTAAAACACACCAAATTACTTTCGCTAGACACTCTGTCATCTCTGGTCATCCTTTGTACCTCTGTGGCTCATGTATCCCTGAATGTGATACGGTCAGTTTTTTAGGCCTTCTCTTTGACCGTAGGTTATCCTGGAAACCTCCCAAGGCAACTTGTCACAGCCAGCTGAACCTTCTTAAAACCCTTGCTCATCTTTCATAGGGAGGTGATCGTCGAACTCTCCTTCACCTACATTCAGCCCTTATTTCATCGAAACTCGATTGTGGTGACCAGATCTATTCAGCGGCCTCTCATACTACTCTCTCTAGCCTTAATCCCATCCACCACCAGGGATTACGTTTATGCCTTGGTGCTTTCCACTCTTCCCTGTTGAAAGCCTCTATGCAGAAGCGAATATTCCATCCTTCTCCGATTGCCGTGATGCCCATTGCCTTCGCTGCTATGTTTGTTCTGATGCTCTCCCAAATCCTTCCATATATAGAATAGTCACCGATGTTAGTAGACATTCTTTATTTGTTCGTCGCCCCTGTTTGCTCCGTCCCTTTCTCTTCGCCTACATTGGCTCTTGTCTTCCCTTCAGTTACCACCTTTCTATGTTCATGTAGCATCTCACTTTTCCCTGCCCCCCTGGGAAGTTCCAGCTGTTCGAGTCTGTTCTTTCTCACTCCCTTGCGCGAAAGCCCAACTGCCTACGGTTGCTTCCCGCTCACTTTTTCTTGACCACTTCCGCTCTCATTCTCATGCCATTGCAGTGTACACGGATGGCTCTAAGTCCTCTGACAGTGTCAGATTCGCAGCAGTGTTTCCAGACAGTGTCATGTGAGGGCATTTACTATAATAGGCTAGCATTTTTACTGCTGAATTGTATGCCATTCTTGCAGCACTTATCTGTATTGCATCTATGCCTGTGTCATCATTTGTTTCAGACTCCCTTAGTGCTTTACAGGCTATACGAAAATTTTATACACCTCACCCCCTCATTCTCCGTATCCAACTTTGGTTACACTGTATCTCTACCAAGCATAAAGATATTGATTTTTGTTGGGTCCCTGGTCATGTTGACGTACAGGGCAATGAACAGGCAGACACTGCCGTGCAGTACATGACTTTCCAGTACATGACTTTCCAGTTTCATATAGAGGTGTTCCATTTATGGACTATTTTGCTGTAATAGCATCCCACCTTCACACCCGTTGGCAACGACGTTGGTCTGATCTGCTCGGTAACAAACTTCAGTCTATTAAACCGAGTATAAGTTACTGGCTGTCTTGTCATCAGTGTCAAGGTTGGGAGACTACTCTTTCCCGTCTTTGCATTGGCTACACTCGTCTTACTCACGGGTATCTCATGGAGAGGCACCCAGTTTCTCTCTGTGAGAATTGTCAGATTCCAGTATCGGTTAGCCATATTCTGTTAGACTGCCCACTCTGTCAAAGAGCATGCAGAATTTACCTCCAACACCGTCTCCGCTCTGCTGCTCTCTCTTTACCTTCCCTTCTTGCTGATGGATCCTCCTTTAATCCGGACTCTCTAGTTGACTTTTTGACAACTGATTTACTCCACAAACTCTGATGATGATACCTTTAGCACTCCCCTCAGCCCTTTCTACCTCACTCTCTTGCTACCCTCTACTCCCGCACTATCCACTGTCCCGCTGATCTCCGTAACCTACTAATCATCCCTCTCCCTTTTGCCACCCGATACCCTCGCTTCCTTCCCTGCCTGCAGTGCTGTATAGCCCTTGTGGTTTAGCGTTTCTTTTTTATTATAATAATAATAATAATTGATCCCCCATCTATTTATTGCAATCCAGTGTCCAGTCAGCGTTAAAGATAAAAGAAAATAGGTAACAAAGACTTGATGGCCTTAAGAACTGGAAGAACATAGTGCTATGATTGCAAAATAAGACAAAATAGTACTGAAAGGGTACTAGAAAGTATTTCTTAACAAAAATAGTAGTACATTGCTAGAATGAGATTCAAGAAATGGAAATAAATGCTACAACCATTGGGAGCTTTAACAATTTACAGTACAGACTGAATGACCCATATGGGTTTAGCACTTTTTGTGACCATAATATTTAACAAATTAAACAGCTAAAGATGGGACACCCTCAAGCATTGCTACAATAACAACACATGGGTAATCAAATACAGTGACACAAGCATAACATGAACATCACACTCTAGGCTGCAAACAAAGGAATGTGCTTAAAAAATTTAGAGAGACTCCTTGTGAAGACACTTTACCACATGCATGCAACCAATCCTTGGATATACTGTTCTTTTGTGGAACCCATACATAGTGAGATAAAGCAAAATCTGAGAAAATGCAAAGGTATGCATCCAGACTGGTGCTTGAACTGAGAGGACTGAGTAGGCGGGAAGGGGAGACCCTGAGAGATGCAAGTTGTTCTTGTAAGAATGGTTGGGAAGGGTATGAGGTCATGACATACAGAATAGGGCATTGGCAAATTTACACAAGCCAGACTTTACAAGGGAAGGATCTAAACCAAGAGGTCAGATATGGAGATAGCAAACCCATGCAAACCCCAGAGACAAAGAAACACCTCTTCAATATAAGAGAAGTAATAGTGTGCAGTGGAATGAGCCAGACACTGGTATAATAGAAACTGACTATATAGGAAAGCTCACAACTTCAATTTAAAAAAATTAATAAGGTGACCCAAGCACTATACCCTCACCCCATCAAACTCAAATAGATAATTCCACAAACTCATACATATGAAAGTTGTTGATTCACAGAGTAAGTGGTAGGACAGTGGAATGATTTAGAAGTAAGGATAATAAGTACAACTCCTGGAAATTAAAAAAAAATATATGATAGATTAGACACCACAAACTTTACTCTACTCCTGTAGCTACGAAGAGGAAATCATAAAATGAAATACGGTGGACCCCAGGTTATTGGCTGGTTTGGTTATCGGCAGGTTTTTTGGCGCCCAGTTATCAGCCGTTTGCTTGGTTATCGGCCATTTTGGACACGTGCATCTGCCAGCTGGGGCAGCTTGCGCTTCAGTTTGGCTTTGTCTATCGGTGGCTGAGGAAGCTTCTGCTCATACATCCAAACATTTTGCTTGTTTACCATTTTTTTAGTGGTTTTTCTTGCAGTGCAACTGTGAAATAGGTAAAGATGGCTCCAAAGAAAGTTCCTGTGGTAAAGAAAGTGAGAAACACCATGGAATTTAAGCATGAAGTGACAGAATAGTTTGAGAATGGTATGAAGGTGATGGAACCTGCCAGGATGTACAGCAAGAATAAATCAACAATTACATCCATCCTGGCAAAGAAAGAACAAATCAAAGATGCTAATGTTGCAAAAGGGTAACTTTTCTAACTAAACAAGGGCCACCAATAATGGAAGAGTTGGAAAAGTTATTATTATTGTGGATTAAGGAAAAAGAATTAGCGGGAGACAGTGTTGTGGAGTCGATCATTTGTGAGAAGGCAAAGCAATTGCATGAGGATCTTGCAAAGAAAATGCCTGGAACAAGTGCTGCAGTTTGTGAATTTAGGGCCAGCAAAGGATGGTTTGATGGATTTAAGATGCGTAGTGGCATACACAGTGTTGTAAGGTATGGTGAGGCTGCAAGTTCTGACAAATGTGCAGCTGAAAAGTAGGTTCCCACTTTAGGGAAATCTTAAGAGACACCAGAAACAGACCACTCTGGACAGTTATTTTGTGAGACAGGGGTCCAGTGACTTTCAAGCTGGTCCTAGTGGCAATAAAAGACAGAGAAGGGAAGTAACCCCAGAGAAGACTTTGCTACCTAAAGTCTTTATGGAAGGGGATTTCCCTTCCAATCACTAACTCCTCCCTCTTTCCTCCTCCCTATCTTCCAGAAGCCAGCATTAGCCTTCAATAAAGGTATGTAATACTTACATAATTGTTAAGAAAATCATTTTTTTGTGAATATTTTTGTTTGGAACAGATTAATTGTACTTCCATTAATTATTATGGGAAATACTAATTTGGTTATCGGCCATTTCGGTTATCAGCCGACCTTCTGGAACAGATTATGGCTGATAACCGTGGGTCCACTGGTTAAGAACTGGGGCTCTGGAGTTATAAAAAAAAAATGGTGAGTGTATATTTTTCTTGCCTTAAAAATAACAAAATATAAAAATACTTTGTGATTTATTAATGCTGTGATTAATTTTATATTTTCCATTATCAGTGAGAAAAGCTGTAGCTGTAAAAATACTGACAGGTTCTTTTGGAACTCCATTAACCTAAACCTCTTTTGGAACAAGCCTGTGATATAACCTGGGTTTCAATAGCTGTGTGTGTACACATAGAAATATATATAATACCAGTAGTTATTACATGAGGAATTAAGTCAATATCTTGAACACTATCTTCAACACTGCCTTGCAATTTAACCCTTAAATGGTCCAAACGTATATATACGTTTTTTCAACATCTGAAAGTATGGAAAAAAATGTAGATCTTTTTTGTTTTACATTTGAAAACATGTAAAAAAAACTTTTATCTACATTTTTTTTTTTTATATTTGAAAATATGTAAAAAAAAAGTAGATCTACTTTTGTAGCACTACGAATCTGAACGTCGATCTCTTCGGACCGTTTAAGGGTTAAGTAAAATAACTAATTTTTTTTTTTATATTTTATTTAAAACTGTAATTACAAAAAAACATGTATTACAAAACAGCCGAAATATTAACAGTGTAAATATTTGTATGACAAACAGCATACATGAGAAAAACACCCATATCACAAAACATCCAAGAAACCACCACATCATCCACACCACATAAACACTCCCACAATACAGAAAGTTACATCACAGTATAGTAGTTTTAAAGCATAATTTTTTTTTTTTTTTTTCAACAAGTCGGTCGTCTCCCACCGAGACAGGGTGACCCAAAAAAGAAAGAAAATCCCGAAAAGAAAATACTTTCATCATCATTCAACACTTTCACCACACTCACACATTATCACTGCTTTTGCAGAGGTGCTCAGAATACAACAGTTTAGAAGCATATACGTATAAAGATACACAACATATCCCTCCAAACTGCCAATATCCCAAACCCCTCCTTTAAAGTGCAGGCATTGTACTTCCCATTTCCAGGACTCAAGTCCGACTATATGAAAATAACCGGTTTCCCTGAATCCCTTCACTAAATATTACCCTGCTCACACTCCAACAGATCGTCAGGTCCCAAGTATCATTCGTCTCCATTCACTCCTATCTAACACGCTCATGCACGCTTGCTGGAAGTCCAAGCCCCTCACCCACAAAACCTCCTTTACCCCCTCTTTCCAACCCTTTCGAGGACGACCCCTACCCCTCTTTCCTTCCCCTATAGATTTATATGCTTTCCATGTCATTCTACTTTGATCCATATATATACTATATACATGTATATGAAAACCCAATACACATAACCTAGATCATAACACAAAATAAACATATAGTATGTGCGTTTCACAGAGACGCATAGACAAAATACCTAGTAATACATAAGCTTACGGAAGCCAGTTAAATCATTTCTATAATTCACACTCTTGGAGATTTTATTTAAAACAGTACATCCAATATACATGCATATGTTAAAACCATAAAACATGACATAATGCCGTATAGTGACCTATACCGGTTCTTCCCACGTCTCTAATCATATTACAAACAAGTACAGAATAACTAAACATGATCCCCCCTACTACTCGCTACACCCAAACGACAAAACATGTGTCGACACATCAGAGATATCACGTTCCCCAATACTATATCTAAAACACAAGTCTGTCACACAACAAGGGATACAAGCACATATGCTGCCTCCCCCCTCTCTCCACACAAGACTTTATGAATAATGATAAAATAAAAGAGGCTAACACCTTGAATATTTAAACCTACGTTTACACGCTTTACGTACAATATAGATACATATTTCAAAACACAAAACCTGACAAAATGTCAATGGTGACCTATACCAGCTCTTTCCTCCTCTCCACACAGTGTACATAAAACTACATACGTTTCAACCTCCAGCCCCAGCACAGCCTGAACATCTCAATCGTATGCCCAACATAGGGAAAACCAAATCTTCACCATACATGATAACTTAAATTTGTTACGACATGATAACAAGTTTGCTCTCTTTCACCCTCCCCACTCCCGGCTATGCCCACCTTTCAGGTTGTCCCCTCGCCTTTTTGTATGCCAAAACCACAAGAGACGTTGGACTTTCCATTATATTATAAACAAATCCTATGCTCCAACGAAAGCATTCATGATTTTATTGACAATGGGAATCTAACCTACCATTTTTGCTGTCCCATGCAGCATTCGTTGACTTCATCTGATATTATACATAGCTACATAAGGCAGTCTTCTATGTCTCACACACCCTATAGTCTCAAAAGGTACTCATGTCTCTGCTACCTACGGAGACCTGGGCATTAATTTACAAGATTAATTAACATCATCCAACCTACAACATTTCTCCTTCTTCGATACACCATGCGTTGCCACCCACCTTATATTGAAATACTCTATCCACTCTAGGGAGTTCAGTTCGAAATTCAATTTTTTTTCTAATTTGTTTGTTTGTTTTTGAACTATGTATGTGGTGGTAGAAGGTGTGCCTTAAAATTTTTAATTTGCAAACATTTATTCTTTGATTTAATTTTGTTGCAATGAATGTTAAAGATGCACTGTGCACCCCTGATGTTTATATCAGTTAGCTTATGGTAAAATTGGTCTTGTTATATGTCATTTCACTTAAAGTCACAGTTTCCAAGAACCTATCATTGACATTAAGTGTTGACTTACTATACTGTACATTGCTTTTAGTTTCACTGGAAAAAAATAAATGAAACTAGATATGGAATATTATAAATAACAAAAAGGCACAATACCGTGACTGGAACGATACACAAATAACCCTCACATAAAAGAGAGAAGCTTACGGTCCAAGTCGGACCGAAACGTCGTTGTAAGCTTCTCTCTTTTATGTGCGGGTTATTTGTGTATGGAATATTATGGTTGGGAAATGCATCTCTGATCAAAACATGAGTGTCAATGGGAAAAATAGGTTCCAAGCCTCAAAAATTTGAATGACGAACAATTTTTAGGAACACACTGGCATCGTAAGTTGGAGCCCTACTGTATATGAATTTTTCACTGGTTTTGAAACACTTTACCTCTTTGAACTAATCTCCCAGAATGTAAGAGAATCTATTCCAACATGTTTGTTTAGAACCTGTATTAGACTTTAACTTATCAACGTTCTATATAAATCTCTTGCCTTTAATTTCCCCGGCTCTCGTGCCCGCATTAGTGCCCTCAGTACTCTAAATAGCTAATTAGTGTCTGGGAATAGCTCTTGCATCTTCAGCAGTGTATTTTAATTTGTGCTTTACAAAGTTTTATCAGTAGCTTTATTTTCAATATGAAATTTTACTTAGCCATATTGATACTGTGTTGAGTGTTCATTCATAAAAATATACGACTTCATAACGTTAATTGCTCCTTAGATACGTGTGTACATGTGATTGGAGATCATGTTCTTCATACATCAACCTCCTAGTCCTTTTCTAAATCTTCCATGTCTATAAAGCTGTTAACTTAGCATTTTATTGAATATTGTATTAAAGTAATTACAGTGCAGTATGGCCTCGACTTACAGCGCTCTGACTTATGATGATACTTACAGTTTTGGCACTTTGGAACCATTTAATTATTTATGAACAAAGAATAATCCCTCCAAGTGGCCAGACTACTTACGACCATGAAAATATCACTTCATTGAGTAAGAGAATATCAGTATTGAATATAGTTGAAATATAATTTTTTTTTTTTTTAGCACATGCATTGATAGTTTGTGTATGTTCATTTTATGCATGTGTAAAGAATTCATGTTTGTTTGGTAGAGATTGGTCAAGAGCTGCAGATTCATAAGTTATGTTATTTGAAAGGCTGAACTATAATGCAAGAACTATAATGCACACATGGGAGGTATTGACAAAAGTAACATGTTGATGCATCTGCACAAAACACCTATGAAATCTAAACGTTGGTACATGCAGCTGTTTGCCTATGTTCTTGATCTTGCTGTTGTGAATGCATGGCTTCTTTACTGCCGTGATTGTAAATCACTCAGTACCAAGTGCATGCCACTGAAGATTTTCAGGAATGATATCTCTATCACTGCAAGATCCAAAGGACAAAAGTTTGGATGCAGCATCAGAACAACTACAAGAGCTTCAACAAGTAATTCCAGTGGTGACAGTAATGATTTACCAACCTTGCAATTGCCAGTTGTTATGCAGTACCAACGTGCAATAAGGCCTGATGACAGTGTGAGATTTGATACAATGCTAGGTCACTGGCCAGTGCTTGGCAAGGTACGTACTTGTAAGTATTGCAGCAACGAGAACAATTATACCACATCGTCATTTTACTGTTCCATATGCAAAGTAAATCTATGCATAAAGAAGGATAAAAATTGCTTCATAGGCTTTCATTCTAGCAATTAGTAATACAGAATGATTGTTCTTTCTCAGGAAACTCAGGAATATGGGACTTGAAAATTTTATCCCTTTGCAATGTGTCAATGTAGCTATTTGGTTTATTTTTATATTTTTCTAATACTTACAAAATGTTTGGATACAAGTTCCATTTATGCTTTTGATATTGCCTGTTTGTATAATAAAAAAATAGTTATTTGGTGTTTTATTAACAATTGCAACTTTGCAACATTCAGTTATGCTCCTTTAATCGGGCAGGCCTTAATACATTATGGCTTCGCAGATTAGCAATTGCTTGAAAAATAACTATAAGAATTCCATTTATATGGGCTCATTCACCTTATATTGAGATATTCTATCCACTCTAGGGAGTTCAGTTCTAAATTCTAATTTTTTTCTAATTTGCCCCATGAAGGGTTTAACTACCAACGTTCCATATAAATCTCTCACCTTTATTTTCCCCAGCTCTCGTGCCCACATTAGTGCCCTCAGTACTCTAAATAACTAATTAGTGTCTGGGATAGCTCCTGCATCTTCAGCAGTGTATTTTAATTTGTGCTTTACAAAGTTTTATCAGTAGCTTTATTTTCAGTATGAAATTTTACTTAGCCATATTGATACTGTGTTGAGTGTTCATTCATAAAAATATACGACTTTATAACGTTAATTGCTCCTTAGATACGTGTGTACATGTGATTGGAGATCATGTTCTTCATACATCAACCTCCTAGTCCTTTTCTAAATCTTCCATGTCTATAAAGCTGTCAACTTAGCATTTTATTGAATATTGTATTAAAGTAATTACAGTGCAGTAGGCCTCGACTTACAGCGCTCTGACTTATGATGATACTTACAGTTTTGGCACTTTGGAACCATTTAATTATTTATGAACAAAGAATAATCCCTCCAAATGGCCGGACTACTTACTCAATGAAGTGATATTTTCATGGTCGTAAGAGAATATCAGTATTCTGGAGTTTATCTGGAGAGAGTTCCGGGGGTCAACGCCCACCGCGGCCCGGTCTGTGACCAGCATCTTAGGTCATGTCCAGGAATGCGACCCACACCATGTCGATAAACACAGGTACCCATTTTACTGATGGGGAACATAGACAACAGGTGGAAAGAAACACGTCCAATGTTTCTACTCTGGCTGGGAATCGAACTCAGGCCCTCACCGTGTGAAGCGAGAGCGTTAACCACCAGGCCACCAGATTACAGTTGAAATATATATATATATTTTTTTTAGCACATGCATTGATAGTTTGTATATGTTCATTTTATGCATGTGTAAAAAATTCATGTTTGTTTGGTAGAGATTGGTCAAGAGCTGTAGATTCATAAGTTATGTTATTTGAAAGGCTGAATTATAAATATCTACATACTGTATTAATTTTTTTCTTGGTTAGTTTTTAGCAATTGCATTTATAGTTTAAGTTTATCTTATACATTGTGTTAGGCAGTTATGTTGGTGTGGTAGTTTCATCAAGAACTGTAGATTTAAAAATTATGGTTGTTGTGGTGGTAGGCTGCCTTTGATACATGTCCAGTTGCAAAGGTTCAGATCACCTTCCACACTCCCTCTCCACCAAACAATTTGGGCATGCAAAAAATCCTCACTATTACCTTCCTGCAGGCACCTGTTAACCTTAGCACATAAGAGAGCATTATTGTTGTCAGATACAGTGGGAGAAAGGTACAGATTCACAATTGCTACTGCCTGTACCACCCTCCCTCCTCACTACAGGATAGAAGGAATGGGAGAGAGACAGTAAGTAAAGTTTATTTTCCATGGCATTGAAAAGCCCATATGGAAGGAAGTATGAAAGAAAGAGGGAGGAAAGGGAAGAGGGACTAATCAGAGTGCAGTAAGTCTTCACTCAATGTTGTTTCATTCAGCATCATTTCATTATAACGTTGGCGAGAAAAAAAATTGATTCCCAGCAGGGGCTTCTGTCTGTGTGGAGTTTGCATGTTCTTCCCATGTCTGCATGGGTGTTCTCTGGGTATTCCAGTTTCCTCCCACATCCCAAAGATGTGCAAATTAGGTTAATTGGCATGTCTAAATTGTCCCAGCATAAGTGAGTGTGGGTGTGTGTGTGTGAGTGTGCCCTGTGATGGAATGGCATACTCTCCATGGTTAGTTCCTGCTTTTCACCCTGAGCTGCTGGATAAGCTCTGGCCACCTGCGAGACCCTAAACTGGAATAAGCAGGTTGGAAAATAAATGAATAAGTTAATCCAAATCATTGTAAAATTAAAATTCGTAAAGAATACGATAATCATACAAATGCATGACAATAAACTATGCGGTACGAAAGTGCTCAGCAAGCCTGCCATATTTGTTGTTTATTTGTTTTTGAACTAGAATGTATGTGGTGGTAGAAAGTGTGCCTTAAAATTTTTAATTTGCAAACATTTATTCCTTGATTTAATTTTGTTGCAATGAATGCTAAAGATGCACTGTGCACCCCTGATGTTTATATCAATTAGCTTATGGTAAAATTGGTCTTGTTACATGTCATTTCACTTAAAGTCACAGTTTCCAAGAACCTATCATTGACATTAAGTGTGGACTTACTATACTGTACATTGCTTTCAGTTTCACTGGAAAAAATAAATGAAACTAGATATGGAATATTATGGTTGGGAAATACATCTCTGATCAAAACATGAGTGTCAATGGGAAAAATAGGTTCCAAGCCCCAAAAATTTGAATGACGAACAATTTTTAGGAACACATTGGCATCGTAAGTTGAGGCCCTACTGTATATGAATTTTTCACTGGTTTTGAAACACTTTACCTCTTTGAGCTGTATAGCCCTTGTGGCTTAGCGCTTCTTTTTGATTATAATAATAATTTACCTTTTTGAACTAATCTCCCAGAATGTAAGAGAATATATTCCAACATGTTTGTTTAGAACCTGTATTAGACTGAAACTTATCATATGCATACAAAGCATTGTTTCTCATCATGCATCACATCCTTCAACAAATTGCTCAAAAATTAGGTACACCGCAGTGTGTAAGGTGCTGAGTATGAGGAATATCTCCTTGACAAAAAAAGGTGCATTAACATTGTACATTATATCTTGTAGCCTTAATTGTTGCTGAAAAATATTTTTTATTAAAAGTCTAATACTACTCTGTTTCATAAGTAAAGCTGGAATGAATTTGGTGAATACAGCTTGTATACATTCAATATGCAGAAAGTAATGTCTTTTTGCTTACAGTAACATCATTAATGCCTAGGACTAGGAAATATATTGTACTCCCTCATTAGCCAAGTATGGTACTGTGCTGTTATCTATGAACTTGGCTCCCCAGTTCAAAACTCATTCAGTATTATTCTCTGATCCATGAGTTGGGCTTCTGAAATTGAGACTTGTGTATGGAAGGAATGGAAAATTATTGTACAAATATAATACATGTATTATCATTATAAATTTATTCTGATGACATATAGAAATACTTAGGAAAAGTGCTCTATTATCAGAATCACAAACAAGTACCCTGGCAGTGACCTTTCTGCATTTCCATCTTGTATTTTTGCCACTTGACAAAAATGACTAGGTACTGTGTTATGACTATCTGAAAATTTAAAACAGACAGCATGGTGGTATTTGCAAGTTCCCAGTCTGTTTGCTTGGCCAACACAGAATAATGTCGGTAATTAACAAAAATAAGGGAACCAGTAATTGATAGTTGCAGGTTATTGTTATACCAGCTATTTTATTTTACTGTACATACCTCACTATTATTAAAATAAAAATATAGCAGTTCTCTTTTTTTTTTTTTTAGAAACTAGTTCTCTAGATTGGTCCCATCATTTTAAGTACTACTTAGGAGTTTTCTATCCATTTTACAGTATTGTGCTGTTACTATACAGTACAGTATCTGTAAACTTCCAGAGCCTCAAATTGCTAATGTTAGTATAACTTTCATATATATATTACAAATCTGTTACATGATCCACTTTTGTTGTGACTGATCCAACATAGCACAAAATTTTATAATACTGTTTGGATACCAGAGTCTGGACTGCATATTCCCATCTTGCCTTTGAGCTATAAGTTCTGTCTCTGTGCACTCAGCATCTGTTACCTCACAGTATGCAGCACCTGAATATACTGAGGGAGTACAGTATATATTTTTTGCTTTTCGATATAGAACTTTTTAATTGACAGTCATCCTCAGGAGATGAAAAGATGTTAAGTGCAATAAAAATAAAATATGAGAGAGCATAATTTTTGTAAGTGTGTATTCCCCATATTTGGAAAGATTATAAAGTTACAAATAATGTACCTGTAAGTTTACATTTTAAGACCTAACTAGAGATAATTTTTTTATTCAGTCATGTGAAAAATATCTGTTCATAAGCTAGACACATTCTGGCCATTATTTTATTGTCTCAAGTACTGTACTGTTTGTATTGTGTGATAATTTAGCAAATAGAAAATAAGATTTTGGTTCAGGTACAACACTGATTTTCCAGCAGCATATGCTCTGGCACCTCTTTTAGTCTCAACTATTGTCTGTGGAGATAGGACAAATTAGACACTGGCTAAATAAAAAGAATTAGCACAAATGAATGTTCAGTACACAGTAAAATGGGAAATGAATTAATATAAAATCAGCAAAAATACAAAAGGAAATGCTGGGAAAAAAAATTACGTGTATAACTGAGACAACACTGAGTTGTGATGCAGAATGTAAGATAACAGTTACTGAATTACTTTACTTCATAACTTACTGGGCAAGGAACACAGTACATACTGTGAACACACGATAATTGTGAAGTGTAAATACAAGTTTATACTGCTTACATATTGCAGACAACAGGGAAAAATGTTAGAGTACTTACTTCAAGTATACATTATATAAAAAAAGGAACACAACACAACAGACATAAAAATAAAGCATGAAAATTTAAACACTGAAAAAAAAAAAAATTGCAAACACAATGTAATGAACACTGAGTCTAATCAAAAGTCACTGAATGTCACTAAGAAATCACTGAGAACAAAAAAATGTCTCAACACTCGCAAATGTCTCTATAAAAAGCTTATCACTGGAGCGACGTCAGATTATATAACATTCATGGTTATAAATGACCATAATTTTTAAAGGGGTGGACCGGTAAGCCAGCGGAAGGCCTCGGTCAGATGACCAAAGCTCCAAAGGTGGGTCATCATCT